TTTTTTTTTTTGAGACAGGGTCTCCCTGTAGCCCCAGCTGGCCTAGAACTCACTATGTAGACCAGGCTGGCCTTCATTTCAGAGACCCACCTGCCTCTGACTCCTGAGTGCTGGGATTAAAGGTGTGCACCACCATACCCAGATCTTTCATTTATTTTAATAAATTAATTTAAAAAATTTAAATTTGTTTTATTTTCCAAGCTTTTGTACATGTGTATGTTGTGTGTTAAGCATGTCCCCTTCACCCTCCCTGCCCCTTTTTGCCCCTTTTTTCCTTCCCTCTCCCCACTGCTATTGGTCCCCTTTGTTCCCCACTTTAGACTTTGAGGTCCATGATGTCAACCCTCTCTTTCCAAGTACTTCACCCCTCCTATCCCATTGTCTCTTTGAATGTCCTAGTGAAACTCCAACCCAAGGCCAATGGCTCTCCATGCCTGCATCCCAGTCTTGGGCCGCCTGATCCCACCCAGCTGGGCTTTCCAAGCTTTTAGGAATCTTGTAGTTTTCTTGGTCATGTTACAGGGACGTCTCCAGTGTCTTCTGGTCTCAGCACCAGTAGAAATCTCTGTAAAAGAGTTCAAACAGGACTTGGTAATAAAGTGAGAAGACTTTTAATTTTAGCAAGCAAGGAGGCAAGAATACACTCTTTAGAGAAAAAGCAGGCCTTAGCTGAGCAGCCACGGCCCAGATCCCAGCAGGCTCAGGGCTTAAATTTCTACTCTGTTATTCCCTTCCTGTGTCTCCCTCAGGGTGGGAACTTACAGGAAAGTGATGAATTTTTCCCACAAGCCCATTTTATCTAGAATTCAGTCTGTTCTAAGATGTATAAGATGCAAGAACATGTTTAGGGGATTAAGTACCCCCAAACTTGAAAAGTTTACTATGGGAAGGAGTAATGGGGCTCTGGGCATGTTCCCCTAGTGGGGACTGGAGAGACTACTCCTACTTACCCTTATATCCTGTTTTGGGGACCCTGAGCTGGTTTATCTGGAAGGACCACCATTACTATCTTTATATATTGACCAGCATTATCTTTACAGCCTGTTTCAGGGCCCTGAGCTGGCCCAGCTGGAGAGCCTATTGTTCTTTATGTTCTATTTTAGGGGGCCTGTTGGTCAGTTTCTCCCAGAGCTAATCTCCTGCCTAACATCAGATCCCTCTCCCTCCTCTATAGCAGCTCTTTAAAACTGACTCCATCTTGCAAAGAGAATTGCTATTGGTCAGGGTAGCCCTCAATTTTCTGCTTCAAACTCACAAACTTAACCGAATCCACACTCTTCCTTTCCTCTGCCAAACCAGAGTGTAAGCCCAATCCCTCCACCTTGTACCTTGGGTCTCCCTGCCTTCCCTGCTAAGGGGCTGTCTCTAAGGCTGACCTCTTCTCTACCTGGCATCTTCAGCTCCTGTGAATCATTGCTTAGCCAATCACATCTCTCCCATCTGAAAAAGCTCCTCTGTCTGTGGGTCCTCCTTTCCCTGTGTCCATTGAATATTTGTATTTTATCCCAGAAGCCCCTAGTCCAAGTTCAATATTTCATATCTTGAATTAATTTCTCAACTCATTTCTCTGCCTCCTTTTTTGCCCCTTCCAATCCATTCTCTATTCTGCAGGCAGTATGCTCCTCTGAACATAGCTCTGAACAGGCCGTTTCTGTACCTAAAACCCTCACTAGGCTTGGGAGATGGCTTAGTGGGTAAAGTGCAAGACTGAGAACTGGAGTTTGGATCCTTTGGACCCAGCAGAGACAGGGAATCCCCAGAGCAAACTGGAAAGCCAGACTGATCAAAACATCCAACTCTGGCTTCATCAAGAGATCCTTCTTCAATACCTAAGGTAGAGAGAGATGGAGGAACACAACGATGTCAGCCTCAAGCCTCTTCTTCATGCACCTGCACACATGTGCACTCACACATACATGCATGCATACCACACAGATATACATACAAAAACAAATGAAAACAAAAACAAAAAAGAAAACTCTCACTAGCTTCCTCTTGGCCACAAGAAAGTTGCTCACCTATTAAGAGACCTAAGAAGCCCTGGCCCAGCCCCTGCCCCTCCAGTCTTCACATCCTCATCTCTTTTCAGCCCCAAACACCCTCCCTGCGGCCTCCAAAGAGCGAAGGCCCCTTATTCCTGCTTCCCTCTCTCTGGGATCCTCTTTCTAACTGCTCATCCCTCAGGGGCCAGTGAGACAGCGCTTCGGGGCTGGTTAGCCATTTCTCCTCGTTTTTCCTCCTGAGGCCAGTCCCTACCTCCACACAGCAGCCAAGGTAGCCTAACCATCTCTGGCCACAGTGCTCCCTTGATTAAAATCTTTCCATATTTTTTAGTGTCCTGAGGACAAAGTCTAAATTCTTCAGCTGGGTTGACAAACAGGAGGAAGAGGTTGGCTCCCATTTTCTCTTGAAGTATATTCATGTGGTGATAAAGGGCTGAGTCAGCTGTGAAGCCTGAGGTGGGAGATGAGTCCAGTGCAGATTCCTCCAAGAACCGTTCACTGCAGGGTATAGGGTGCGGTAGGGGGGATGGGGCAGGGAAGGCAGATGGTGGGCTCATCCATGGAGGAGTTTTGCTGGGAGCATGGGAGCAAAGGCAGGGCTAAGGAGTGGAGGAGTCTGACAAAGGGTAGGTGAAGGTCAGCCATGGAATCTGATACCACATGACAAGGGAGGTGAAGACAGTAGGGGAAGGTGTCCTCAGGAAGGGGCAGCTTTAGAGAGAGCAGAGAGACTAATGAGACTGGTGATGTGGACCAAGCAGGGGTGGAGAAATGACTCAAGAGAGCCAGCTGAAGCCAGGAGGTGGCAGATCTGGTAGAAGGGCTGCTGCTGGCCTGTGCCTCAGCATTGCTGACTCCACTAGCTGCTTCACATGATGGTTGGGTGGATAAATGGCTGACTTCTACTACCTTATGGAGTAGACCAGTGGGGGCACAAGCCCTGTTCTCTCCCTTACATCCTTCCCTGGCGAGCCTGACACCAACCTTGGCTGGAATGCCACCTGCTCAATGAGATGTTTAAGCTGTGTGTCCTCTCTCTCCCCATCTTCTAAGCATCTGCATTCTTGATTTCTTTCATTTTCTTAAAAGAAACATTATAGAAAGTCTAGCCTTGTCTAAGCTAGAAGGAAAAGGGACCTCTCCCTGTAATCCAGGGAGGAAGGGCATTCTGTGGTCCTCTTGCCTCCTAGGAGTTGGTCTAGGGGTAGACAGATCTCTTAAGAACCTAGGAAGAGTGGGGATTTCTGAGACAAAGGCGGGTCAGCGCTTAGGGCCTCAGAAGGGAAAGACTCAGGGCCAAGTGTATAGTGGCCCAACTTCCCTTTCCAGGCAAAGGTGGGTCTCCCTGCCCTTGCACATATATTACCATCTGCCCAAGCTACAGTCCTTCAGCCACCCAATGAAAGCACCTGTGATGTGTCAGGTCCATGTTGGGAACTAGAGATACATGGACAAGCAAGAACAAGACCCCATCTGCCCAGACGAGCTCACCGTGTAACTGAAGAGACAAGCACACAAAGGAAGAATCGAGAGTTAGTATTTGCAACTGAGGGTGCTGTGGACACAAAAAGGAGCAAGTCACTAATGTAAGGGGAGAGGGTTCGGAAAGACTCCCTACAGTGTGGCTTCCCAGAGAATGGGGTGTTGAAGGATAAGACAGAAAGAAAGCAGGAGCTACAAAGGCCGGAACAGTGACAGAACATGGTGAGTTCGTGAAAACAGTTTAGGGGGGGGGGGGGGGGTCCATGTTGTTGAAGGGAGAGTGAGACAAAATGGTGTTGGGGAGCCTGTAAGAGGTGGGGAGCCACAGAAAGATTTTAAGGTAGATTTTGTTTTAGTTTTAGGATGTCCACTCTGGCTCAAGTATATGTCTCTATGTGACAGGGGAAGTGGCCTCCAGGACTAAAGAACAAAAGCAAGAGAAGCAGGAGGAGCTGGCTGTACAATCTGGACAAAGACCAAGAGGGCCCTGCTACGAAGATGCAAATTATCAGGCAAATATGTGAAGGAATCGGAGGAGTCGATGATTTTTTATTAGCCTTGGGGAAAGAGACAGTGAAGGGACCACTCTGAAGCCTCCGGCAGTACCTTTAGATGAGATAGAGGAACACTGTCAAGATAGACAGCAGTGATCCCATTGTGAATGTGTGGCGTGTGAGGCATCACAGAACATCAGCAGACGGTTTCTGTTGCTCTGGGCATTCTGGGATGTGTCCTGTCTTTCTCCCCTGGCTCTGTTCACCTTGCAGCCTCCTCTCCCTTGTCTACCAGCCCAGTATTTTCTCCAAGAGAAATGTTTGCCCTACCTGCTGAGAACAACTTTTCCTCATCAGAGCCTCTGCAGTTCTGGTGTAGGATCTCTTAGGAGACAGGTCTCCTGTCTCTCTGGTATCTTCATATAACCTGCACCTTGTGTGATAGGAAGTATGTTCTCATGAGCTGCTGTCACTGGAACATCATCATGATCACCAGGAAATGTCACTGCACACCACAGAAGAGATCACTTCCAGGGCTGACTCCAAGCAGGAAATGACTTACTGCCTCTAAAGGACTCAAATACCTCTCCCATGCCTAGATCCCAGAGATGCCTGGTTTCAGAGATGGAGAAGGAAGACATACATGTACTTCAAGCCATCCTGTAGAAAATCCCCAGAAGGCAGACTAGATGAGTGGGGGTGGGGGGGTTAATCTCTAGAGAAATCAGTTGCCCATGCTTAAATCTCCTTTTGAACCAGTAAGCAAATGTCAGGGACTTGGGCTCCCCACTCTCTCTTGGACCAGAAACTTCTCATCTTCCCAAGCCTGTGTATCCTCTTGACTCTTTCCCCTTCTCACTTGAGGAGAAAAATCCTAGGTTTGGCTGAGGACAATTTCATAGCACCATTTATGAGCTGAGAAGGGAGCAAACAGTTAGCTTGGGACAGGTGGACTATGGGATGGGGGAATGAGCGAGGGTCTCAGAGGTGGGATGAGGAGGTGAAGACAGTAATAGAAGTCAACATTTTATTGCACATTTGTCAGGAGTTCAATCTTTTCATTTACGATGGCATTTAATCCTTATAATTAGTGGCAACATGGTCCTAAGAAACTGAGGCCCCAGCTGCTAGGTTAAGAATTCAAGGGAGATTCCAGTCCAGGTTCATCTCATCTCTGAACCCATGTTCCCTCTGCTTTGCCACAAATCACTCTCCCTGAGTTACTGTAGTCTTGGGTAGGCAACAGGCATTCCTGTGGAGACCCTTGATGGTATTATAGAGCAAGACTAGAAATATGGGTTAAGAGTCTTCAGAGATCCCAGTGATCTCCCTGCCTGGAGATTCCAGAGCCAGACAAACAGAATGACAGTCCATAGACACAAATATCCAGTTCCAAGGAGATACACACTCACCTTCCCATAATGTGGATGTGTGGATACACATGGGCTCCTAATCACACATCATGCAATCCCACAGAAGGGCTGAACAGCCCTGGGACACACACATATGCACACACATATGCATGTTCTGGTACAGTTCTAGGGACACTGAGGCAGGTCATGGGAAGGAGAGTTCTGGCTCTGTCAGATGAGACTGGCGATGCTGGAGGTGGTCTCATGATGCTGACCAGAGGACAACTGTCCTGAGATGCTAAAAATGCTGTTGTTGCCACTGTGGCTATTTTGGGTAGAGGGGTCAGCTGCACAGATGGAGGGGCAGTGTCCACTCACACCCACCTGATACAGCAGCAAGCCCAGAAGCAAGACTGAGCCCAAGACAGCCAGGGCAATGCCCACAGACAGCATGGCAACCAGTGGCCGAGCTGGGGCAGGGGCTGCAGCCAGCCCGGCCAGGGTCAGGCCAGTGACCAGCAGCACAAAGCCACTGAGCAATACCACGAGACCATCGGCCCCTCCACCACTGCGCAGCAGGGCCACGTGGTGGGCCTGGCGTATGCAGTTCATGTCCTGCACCGCCGAGCTCATCAGCTGCTTCACTAGAACTAGCAGAGCCAGCAGGCAGAGCACAGTGCCCACTGCTAGGCGCCACTCACCAGAGCGGCTGCTGGTGGAAGACAGCAGGGCCACACCACCTGCCCCACAGCCAGCCACGAGGCCCACAGCCACGGAGAAACACAGCAAGGAGCGCCGGGGCTGCTGGGACCACCATAGCTCCACCTGCTCTGCCAGCACATCCGGGGGCAGTCCCTGGCCCACCCGGGCTTGGGCTTGTTGGGACATGGCTTGCTCCGGGAGGGTCAGGACAGAAAGTTGGTGTCAGGGCTCAGAGGGTGTAGATCATGGCCTGGTGTCCTCATCACCAGCTTGGCAGCTACAAGCCCAGAGTCTCCTTGTCTCAGTCCAGCCTAAGGTTACCGTCACCTGCAGAGACAGGATCTCATGTTAACTCCCACCCACACGGCCCTCTAAGTCTTATCTGGGAGCCTTAGGGAAGAGCTCTGAGAATCCCCCTCAGCATCCTCAGGATTTTTAGGACCTGTCCCTGAAAGCCCCTGTCCCAGCAATGCCCCTTGGGAAAGCCTCCCCTGACCCCAGGAGAGTTTCCTCCTCTACAGAGGTTCCCTCCTCCCTCCTCCCCCTCCAAGGAATCCCCTTGCCCAGCCCCTGACCTCTCTGGCTCTGGTTGTCTCAGGCGCCTGTCCCATCCTGGCTGCCGGAGGGAGCTGGTGCCACAGTGGATGATGGGTGGATCAGCCAGAGATAAAGCCTCATTCAGGATCGACTCACGTGGCCTCAGCTGTCACTGCTAGGTCCTGGCTTGGGGGGGGGGTTGTGGGGAGGGAGGGGGATTGATGACTTAACCCTTCTGGGATCAGCAGCCTGACTGAAGCCTTCCCTCACAGGACTGTGTCCCTCCTCTGTGGGTTAGCATCTGACCCCTAAAATCCTTCTTCCTCTAATCCCACCTCATCTCAGTTTGACTGGTAATAAAAGATGCAGGCTCCAAATCCCTTTCTAGCTCTGATCTTCCTCCTTAGCAAAGTCATCTCTGATGCAACAGGGCCCAACCCAAGCTCCTCATCTTAGCCCAAACCTGCTCCTCCTGTGTCCCTTCCTCTGGATGACAGGGCTAACCTCTCAGCCTCTCTCTGCCAGTCCTAATCCATGCCTCAAGGTCGCCACTCAACATTTCTTCGTTCAGTCCTGTGCTCAGCTCTGACCCCCAACCTGTTTCCCCATCCCTCACTGACCTTCCAGACTCCCCATGGCTCTCCCCTTTCCATCATCCATCATGCTTTCTCTAAAGCAGCAAAAGAAGGGTTCTGGATTTGAACCCCAGTGCAGTCCTTCTCACTGTGGAGACGTGGGAAGGGACCTAACAGTATTACTTATTTAACCTGTTCTCTAGAGGCCAGGCAGCGTGACTCACACCAGGTAAAAATAAAAGCTGGCTCAGGACCTGCCTGTACAAAGCCCAACTTCCCGCGGGAGACAGAGCCTGTGTGACCAGCCACCTGGGAGCCCAGGATGGGCTTGCCTTGGGGACAGGGAAGCCCCAGTTCACCTCTTAGAACCTCGTCTCCTTATCTGAAAACTGAGGGGTGGGAGGAGTTATCTGACATCTTTTAGATGTTCCACGGGACAAAGTGGCTCAAAACATACTTTTCGTATAAGTGAACGCGATGGTAGTCTGAGGCTCAGAATGGGTTAGAGGACCTAGGTACCAGATCTTTCCAGGAACAGGACCCCATGGCCGAGCACGGGGTTTTACCCCAAGGAGGTATCTGTCCTCCACGACCCCTCTGCCCTTGGCGAGACTCCCAGGCATACAAAACGGGCGGGGCAGGTGCCCACGCCCCCTGGGGAGGTGGGGGAGGGGCCGCGGGCGGAGTCGGTCCAAGAATTCTGGGCTGTGGCTTTGCTGGTCTGAAACGGCTGGCACAGGTGTACTGGGAATGCGGGGCCAGGCTGGAGGTGGGGTGGAGGTTCCCAGCGAAGGAACCAGAGCAAAAGGAGGGGGCGGGCGGGGCGGGGTGGGGGCGTGTGGGGCACTCACGAGAAGTCTGGATGTGGTGGATCCAATTTGAGCAGGCAGAGCCCGGCAGGTGGGGTGCTTTAGCTCCGTTTCCGGGGAGACGCTTCACCTGCCTAACCTGCACCCAGGTGAGCCTGGAAGGAAGGGGATTAACAGGTGTTGTTTCCAGGGCAGGGCCTGAGCCGATTGGCTGACGTGGCCCTGCTCCTTCATCTCGCTCGAGACATTGCTGGGAAGGGAGGGGCTTCTGTCGGTTGCTGTTGGGACCGGAACACTAGATACCGACCTGGGCTGCAGGAAGAATGCTGTCTCTCTGCCCCAGCCTGGGCCCCAACCAAACTCTACTTTAGCTTCAGCTTCTCCTTGAAGCCCTACCACCAAGCCTAGCGTGTAATTACACTGTAATCCCAGCACTGGAATGGCTGAGGCAGGAGGATCGCCAGTGGGAGGTCTCTGTCTCCATTTCCAAAGTCTGCCCCACCGTGGCTTGAAACCTCAGCTCCAACTCCTTACTCCAGCTCAGATTCTGGATTTAGGTCCTAGACCCCAACTGCGTCCTCAGCCCGTCTTGATTCCTATCCCTGAGCTAGATCCTCCTAAAGTCAACTTTGCCTAAAAGCTAGCCTCTGCCCCAAAGCCCAGCTATTGATACCCCAAACCAAGCTCCAGTACCTCCATCTTGGGCTTTTCCTCCCACAAGCCCCTAGTTCATTCTCTTTGAGGCCTCAAGTGCATGACAGGGTCAGTTTGTCCCATGTGGGAAGAGTAGAGGCCTCCCAGGTGGGTAACGGCCTCCAAAGAGGCTCGGAAAGGCCCTGTGCTTCAGCCAGGAGTGCCCTTCAGCGCTGCTCTGCAGACTCTGTCCTCCACGTGCTCTTCTGGCTTTTGAACTCAATGGTCCCTCTACCTGGGATATTTATTACTCCAGCTTGAATGGAGTAATAAATACTGGCCAACTCGAATCATTCAGTTGAGATGTCCCCTCCTCCAGGAAGCCCTCTCTGACTAGCAGGTTGATTTGGCTGCACTCATGGCCTCTTGTGCATCCCCCACATTTGCCCACACCCCCTCTTACTGCAGTGTGCTTAATTGTCCTTTAGTTAGTTATCTCACCCCACTCCCCAGCTGTGTGGTCCCCAACTAGTTCATAGTGACCAGTGTGTTAACTATGGTGAGTTCGGCACCCAGCCTACAGTTAGCAGCCCCTACATGGAGAGCAATTAATAAATGTTTGCTGAGTGATTGGCTGGCTAAATAAAAGTGTGAACTGACTGTTGTGGCAATTTTGAGCAGTAAGCATGGGATATGAAACCAGAAAGACAAGTTTGGCCTGGTTGATGGGGCTTTGAATGCCTTGGAATGCATTTGGACAGACTGGATGTCCACAGACTGCTCTGAAGAAGAACAGGGATGTGGTCAGGACTCTGCTTCTGATCTGGCACCCATACGCCCATGCTTCTGAGTGGCCAGTGGGTGACTGGAGGGGGCGCGGGCTGTCACGTATCTTCTGCTCTAAACCCCTTGATGATTCCTCTCTCCTGATGTGTATGAAATAGACAAGAAAAACAAAATCTGAGTTATCATGCTGTGATCAGTTCACAAAATAACTCTGCCTGACCTGTGTTCCTCTTTGCTTTGTTCTGTGATGATGAGGGTGGGTGTGGGATAACCCCAGAGCAGCCTGGTCCATATGTCTACATATGAGCTACATATGTAATTTAAACTTTTCTAATGGCCTGTTTCAAAAAAGACATAGATGAAATTGACATGCAAACATGAATGTATTTGCTGGGATGTGGACTTAACCCAGTGGTAGAGCCCTTGCTTGTTACTAGGTTCAATACCCAGCACTGCAAAAACATATGTACTTGAATTATAAGATATATTAATATACAAGCTATTTATTTATTTGTTTATTTTGAGACAGGGTCTCACTGTGTAGCCCTGACTAGCCTGGGACTTGCTATGTAGACCAGGCTGACCCCAAACTCTCAGTGATTCGCTTGCCTTTGCTTCCTAACTGCTGGGATTAAAAGTGTGTACCACCATACCCAGTTATCAGCGAGCTCTTTTACAGTCTTCATTTTACACACAAAGTACATGTCAGTTCAAATTAGTCACATATCAAGACCTTAGTCACATTTCCCTGTGGCAGTATCCTCACTGGATAACACAGCTTTGGATGGTCTTCCCCTGAAGAAAAGTTTAGGGCCAACAGACTAACAGTGCAGGCTAGATTTGGGGGAAATTTTTGTGGTAAGTGTCCATCCTGCCACTTTGCAAAGCATTGTAAAGATGTCCCCTTTGAAATAAACAGGTTCAAGAGATTGGGGGTGGGGTGCCTGGGTTTGCCAGATGTGCACCCCCTCTGCACACTTTAGGTATCCTGATCCCAAGGAGAGTCCAGTCTCAGGCTGACTCAATGTCCAGCTGTCCTAGACAGAGCTGGGGCAAGGGATCCCTGAAATTTTCCTTTCTTTTCTCCTTCCCTTGGGGGTTTGTAGAGGAGGAAACAGAGCCTAGAGCTTCCCCAGTTTAAACATTGACCTGACAAGTCTTTGTTTTAGTCCTGGATCCTATCAAATGAGTCAGAGTTTAAGTGGAAAGGCTGGCTCTGGACAGGGCTGTTGAACTCTGTCCCTAAAGCAGAGGGTATAGGAGCAGTTCAGATGGGCAGAAGTGGAGCTCAGGAGGAGGAGGTGGTAGTGGGCATGCAGGGGGAAGGTGTGGGCCTGAGTCCGTGTGGTGGGTTGGGGGTTGGGGGAAGAGCTGATAGGTGGGAGGATCACTCCCTGCTTTTGTTGAGGTCCCTATACTCAACTGGAAGCTGGAGTGATTCTGTTATTAATTGAACAGTAATGTCAGTGTCTGCTTGCATCCCTCCAGTGGCCAGCCTCAGTCCTTCCATGATCTTTGAGGCCCTCTTTGATGCCATTCTCACTGCCCCAGAGCCTGTGCATTGGCGGCTTCCTCTGTGTAGCCTGCTGACCTTCCATGTGATGCCCTCCCTCTCTTCCTTCAAGAATAGACTCAAATGTTACCATCTCAGACCTTCCTGGCCACCGTTTCTAAAACCATCATCTTATGGTTTTATAAGTATGTCTTATCCTTGTATGTTTCTGTTTAACAGTGCTCTGTAATCTCATCCCTTCTCTCCTCCCCTCCCCTCCCATCCCCTCTCCTCCCCTCTCCCCTCCCATCCCCTCTCCCCTCCTGTCCCCAAAACTTGTTATGCAGTTTAGGGTAAAAAGACCTCCAAAGAAAAGTGATCAGTTTTTTTCTTAATTAAAAGGGAGAAGCTTTTTGGACTCCCAGCAGACTTGCCCTTGCTAGAGGCCAGAGATGCCAAAAGTGTCTAAGTCAAAATCTCCGGTTCTACCATGACCAGAGGCTGGGGATGGCAGAAAGGGAGTCTGGTCTTTTCCTTATCTCTTTTCCTTAAAAGAATACGGTTCCTGAAAACCATACTAAGGACATGAGAGAAACTACAGAGACCTGGGTACCTGGAATGGGAAGTGGACTGACCAGCTCATTCACACACACACACATCCACACACACACACACACACACACACCCACATACAACACACACACACACACACACACACACACACACACACACACACACACACACACACTGTTGTCTGTCTGTCTCCCTCTTGGAATATGACCTTTATGAGGAAAGGATTTGCTTTGTTGCTGTATTTCTAGCTCCTAGAATAATAAGTGTGCAATTCACGGTTGTCAAATGACTAAATGGAATAGTGGTTTTGGAACTACATTACTACTGAAGTTTCAAGTCCCTTCTTTAGTTATGTAACTTTAGAAAAACACCCCAACCCCTGTGGGTCTCAGTATCTTCATTTGTAAAATGGGACTAACAGGGCTTAGTGTGCATAGTTATGAGAGGATTAAATGATAGCGCTCAGTCACTCCAGAAACATTTACTGTATCCCTCCTGTGAGCCAGGCATTGTGCAGGGGACACAAGAGTGAGCCAGGGAGCTAGCATTCCTGTTGTCTTGGGGAGTTAGAGAAAAGAGGATACACAGCTCAGGGGAGATGCAGGGTATCAGTGTCTCCACACACTCCAGTCCTATGCTTGGTGACTGATGGCCCCTTGAGGTAGGCATTTTGGGGGAATATAGATCCCACTCACAACAGCCATCCTTGCAGCAAAGAATCCTAGCAACCAGAATTATATTTTGTGACTCACCCTTTTGTCTACCGTTGATTGGATAGAAGTGAACCCTAAACTCAATCTAGGCCCCAAAGACTCTCTTTCACCAAGTTAATATTGGGCTAGAGGATCTAGAGAGATAGTTCAGTGGTCCTCTTGCAGGGGACCCGAGTTCAATTCCTAGCACTCATGTTGGGTGGCTTATGATCACCTGTAACTCTAGCTCCAGGGGATCTGACACCTTCTTATGGACTCTGTGGGTACCTGTACCCACACATGTGCGCGCGCGCGCACACACACACACACACACACACACACAAATAAATTTTAAAACCTTTAAAAATGATTGGACTGGAGATTTCATTTTAGCTTGGGAAAAAGCTGAAGGGTATTGAAGTTCCCTTCTGCTAGCAGAACTGGCAGTGGGAAGCTGGGCTGCATAGGAAAAGAGAGGGAGATGGGTTCCAGGTTTTGAGGCCTGGGTGCGTCTCTGCCAAATAAAAGCCCATGAGACACCAGTGGAGCCAGATAATAAATTCTTTTTGGCTCAAGCTGTCTGGAGATGGGCACCTGCAGCTCCTCTCTTCCGAACTAGATCTCATAGTCCCAGTCTTAATACATTTAATATATTAATACACACGGTATGTGCCTAGAAAATACTAGTCCACAATTTCTGCTCCTGCGAAATCCCATCATGTGACACTCACTAGATGAGTAATCTAGTTCATCTATACTACCGCTGTAGTAGGCGATCAGTAATGCTGGTCCCTCCTGCTATGTGGCACATAACAGGGTTATGTCTTTATAAATCTGCTCCTCAGTGTGGCTCAGCTCATGGGGATCTGGCTGCATTTCAGATATAGGCAAGGCCTCACCACCCTCTTGAATGTCAATGGTCTTGGGGATCTCATGCAGAAAGAACCCCATTCTTGATCCTGAGATGCCTTTGCCCTTAACTCTCCAAATCCAGAGCAGCAATTGTAATGGGGTATTACTTGGGCACACAGTTATTCCCAGGCCCACCTGTGCCCCTCAGACACCTCCTGGGAACAGCTGGTAGGTCAGAGCTGATATGCAATGACTGGTCATGCTTTGCATAAGAAGTAGTGAAGAAAGGTAAGTATTGATGGCAGAGTGTGGGGTAGAGTCTTTGGTGTTAGGAGAATGGAGGATGGCAGAGAAAGCTCATCTGAGCAGCTTATACCTAGTCTGGCCATAGTTGATGTGAAGATTCTAGAAGAAGGAGGGGGGCTAAATGGACATCTGAGGCCCAGAGAAAAATCACAATTCTGGAGGCTTTTACACCAGGAAGACAAGCAGCCCCCAAACCACCAGCTCTCATACTCACTGCATGAGTCCCCAGAGCTCAACAATGAGCTGCAACCAGAAGAATGATAGTGGAGTCCCTGGCTAATGCCCGTCACCTGGGTGACCTATGTGGCCCTGCAGCTGTGGCAGGAGGTGGCAGGGGTGACTGTCAGGCCCAGTCCACTTGTCCGAGGGGGTCAACCAGGTGAAGAGACCTTGAGGAGGAGGTGACTGGAGTAGAGGAGGGCTTTCTGCCTCCTCATGGAATTGGGATAGGCAAAGTGGAAGGAGGTCTGGGATGCAGCAGCCAGAGACAGGGCCATCCAGAAGGATAAAAGAGAGCTAAACAAGCCTGACCCTTTAGCCCCAGCTTCTGAAGCTGTGTTCATCCCTGTGCAGGTTAAGAAAACACACCACCAGTGTAGGTGCTGGCTTCTACTTGGTTGGGGCTTTCCTTTGGTCCTGACTACTTCCTCCCTCTTCTTTCTGTTTACTAGCTGGGCAACTGCCAGGGTAAAGTGAGGCAAGAATCAGCTTGTCTTGGGAGTGTTCTGCTTTCTTTTAAAAAAAGTATTTACTTTTATTTTTATTTATCTATTTTTTATGTGCATGAGTGTTTTGCCTACATATATGTAAGTGCACCCATGCCACACAATGCCCATGGAAGCCAGAAAAGGTCATTGGATCCCCTGGAACTGGAGTTTCAGGTGGTTGTTAGCCGCCATGTGTGTGCTGGGAACTAAACCCAGGTCCTCTGTAAGAGCAACCAGTGCTCTTAACTGCTGAGTCATCTTCCTAATCCTTCCATTTCCTTCTTGTTTAGATTTTCTAGGAACCACATTCCTATAACCCCCAACCACCTGGTCTGTAGTGTTTTCATGGGCATCTCTCCAGCATGGCACATAAGAACACGGGCTTCAGAGGCCATTGGGCAATGGGAACAGCGTCCTGGCCCCACCTGTGTGACTTCATGCCAGTTACTCTCTTGGCTTTGGTTTCCTCCTCTGTAAACCAGGGTGCATCTTGTAGGAGAAAAGTGATGTCTTAAATCAAAATACATTTTCTGGTGAATCATCCACCATTTGAAGCGAATTTTCTTCTGGTCCTCAGAAGAGCTCCGGTTTCTTCTGCATTTTTTCCTCTTCCTCAGCCATGCTTCCTCCCCATAGGTTGACTAACTCTCGCCAGTCCTGAAATCAGAAGAGTTCACTCCTCTTCCTCCCCTCAGCCTCTGGCCCAAGCCACCAGCCTCTCATCAGACACCCACAACTTCTTCCTAAGCAGGCATCTCGCTTCTACTGTTGGATCTCTTCCATCAATGACACACTTGGTGCCCAAGTGAGCTTTTGACTCAGATATAGCTCATGGTGTCATGGAACTCCCTTAGCAAAGGAGGACATTGAACAGATAAATGAATGTGGCATAGTGAGGGTTATGAAAGAAAACAATGTGGTGGATGTAATTTGGGTGTGTATATGTCAAGGGCGGACTTTCTGAGGAAGTGACATTTAAGCTCAGATTTGGAGGTGTTGTGAGGCAACAGCATTTCAGGCAGAGGAAGCAGAATGTGAGAGATGGAGAATCAGGAAGACCGTAGCAAATCGTGGGCTCTTATGTGGAAATGAAGACAGTGTGGCAAGAGCCTGGATCCCTGTAGGATCTGGCCCCACAACTTCATTTCACACCAGTTTGCCCTGCAAAGGTAAAGCCAAGATGTTAGTTTGGTACAGAAAAGCTACCTGGTTGGATCATGTGATAGGCTGTCATCTCGCAGTGGGCAGGGAACTGGCTGGTATGCACGCTGGTGTGAAGGAAATGAGTTGGCTGCTGTGACAGGATACCAGCTGGGGGCAGGGAGGTGGTCAGTAGAATATCATGGAGCTCCCATATAGCGCTTTACTTTATGGTCTTTGCCATGCACCTTCCATCTTGCCAAATAGTACAGCTGAGTCTCAAGTCTGGCTATGAGAATGCCCAAGAACAATGCTGTGTTGGTAAAGCACCCTGGGGCAGGCGAGAAGCCTGGGAGAGGGCAGCTTTATGCAGCCCAAGGGGGTCAGGGCCACCTACAGAAAGCAGCAGTCAGGGATGTTTTTGTTTTTGTATTTTTTTTTCTTCAGATTTTATTTTTAGTTATGTGCATATATACATGTGTGGGTGTGTGCACATGAATGCTGGTGCCTGCAGAGGCCAGGGTGTTGGATCCCCTGGAGCAAAGTTATAAGCAGTTGTGAGTTGCCCCACGTGGGCACTGGGAATTGAACTTGGGGCCCTCTGCAAGAGCAGCATGTGCTCTTAACCACTGAGCCATCTCTTCAGCTCCACTTCTTTGCTCTTTACTGGTACCTAGATGTGGCTAGACTCCTAGGATGAGGCTTGGAGGCATTACTAAAGAGAAAAGTATCCCCAGAAATGGAGGGACCAGGTAGGGTCATGCAGAACAAAGATGTGGAGGTGAGAGACAGAAAGGCAGAGCACCTGTAATCCTAAGAAAGGGCCTACAAGTAATTCCTTAGAGAATTGTCATTTTCTTTCTCTTTTAAAAATATTTTATTTACTATTTTTATTTTATGAGTAGTATTGCTTACCTGTGTTTAATGCACCGTGTCATGCAATGCCCACAGAGGTCAGAAGAGGGCATTGGATTCCCTGGAAGTGGAGTTTTGCACAGTTGTTTGCTGCTATGTGGGTGCTGGGATTCGAACCCCAGTCCTCTTCAAGAGCAGTCAGTGCTCTTAACTGCCAATCTCTTTCTCTAGCCCCCACTTTGTCATTTTCATTATTTTATTCTGATCTCGTCCCCATCTTCATACACACAAATCCTCAGAAAGTCTCATTATAGAGGCTAAAGAAATGGCTCAGTGGTTAAGAGCATGTACTGCTCTTTCAGAGAGCTTGAGTGTAGTTCCCAGCACCCACATCAAGCATCTCACAACTGCCTATAACTCTAGAGGATCTGATGCCCCTTCTGGACTCCACAGGTATTTGTACTCACATGTGCACATAACCACACAAAGATGCATGCACATAATTAAAAAATAAAAATGTGGGCTGGAGAGATGGTTCAAAGAGCATGTACTGCTCTTTCAGAGAGCTTGAGTGTAGTTCCCAGCACCCACATCAAGCATCTCACAACTGCCTATAACTCTAGAGGATCTGATGCCCCTTCTGGACTCCACAGGTATTTGTACTCACATGTGCACATAACCACACAAAGATGCATGCACATAATTAAAAAATAAAAATGTGGGCTGGAGAGATGGTTCAGGGTTAAGAACACTGGTTGTTCTTGCAGAAGACCCGGGTTTGAATCCCAGCACCCACATGGCAGCTAACAACTGTCCATAACTCTAGTTCCAGGGGATCTGAGAGCCTCTTCTGTTCTCCAAGGGCACTGTATGACATGGGTGCACTTACCTACATGTAGGCAATACATGTATAAACATAAAATAAAAATAATAAACAAAATATTGAAAAAAAAGGTGAGTGATTCTCAAGATCAAGGTCTATACAGACTAAACAATGTTCCTAACTAATTTTGACAGTAGTTTGGGGCAACTTTTGAAACTATAGGAGGTTTCCTAAAAACTGCACACATTTGTCTGATAAAAAACTTACAATTTAGTTTACAAATGACCAGCAGCTGCCTCTGTCCTCCCTTATTTTTGGTGGGGTCAGTCCTGGAGGAACTGCAGGGACTCAGGTGTGAGTCTGGCCTGGTAGCAGATACCTGGTGCTTCTGGCCATAGTTGGAAATAGGTTTTTGGAAGTCACTTGGTGTGCACTTCAAAATCCACCTCTGAGTCGATGAGGGAAGGAAGCCGAACTCCAGCAATGGTGTGGAAGCCTGGGACCTGTTCTTGCTCTTGGATCTGATCTCTGAGGCGACGGATTTCCAGGCGTTGCATTTCGATGATTCTCCCAGTTTCTTCTTGCTCATTCAGTCTCATGGTGGGACTGATGGTGGCCATGTCCTTGCTGGGTGCTATAAGGGACAAAGCAGGATAATCGTGGTCTGTTTACTAGACTGCTGCAGCCTTTCCTCCCTTCCAAATGCCCACTGAGAATCCATGATGGGAAGACGCTCCATCCCAGGTGCCACTTCACTGTCTCACAGAAAGTCTGAGAGATGGAGACATTCCAAGTGATAAGGTGGGTGCTGAGCACGGTCTGCTGTCTCCATGCACCAGCACTGAGGTCACCTGCTCTGGAGGCTTCTCTTCCTCCCATTCCCCAGGCTTTGACATGGTAGCCTTCCCCTGGGGACTGGTACTGGCTTCCTAGCCACCAGTCCTCCGGTAAAGGTCCTGCTTCTGGAGACAGACTCCTCATTGTCTCTCCGTGTGGCCACCTGTTGGCTGCTAGGGCTCCCCGATGTCTTTGCACCATGGACCTCATCATCCTCCTTGTCTTTGGGGCTGCCATTATCCTGAGAAACGTTAGCACTCGCAGAGTCCATGGCTCATAATATTTCTGGGCCTCAGAGGGCTGGGTGACCTTGGTCTCTGTGGCATGTCACCCATCCTCCCCCTTCCCCTGCTCCTTCACCACCCAGGGTGTCTATGAGTCTGCCTTTCATTCCAGCACACCATTCTCTGACTCTTTCACTGTTAGTGCTCAACACACTCTGGTTGAGACCTTTTCTTCCTGGAACTCCCTTTTAACACACCAAATAGGCTCCTAAATTCACTTCCTTTTCTAGCCAGTTAGACCCACCATGAGTTTCTTTCCCCACATCCTTGATGGCCCCTTGTATTCAGTTCATTGTCCTCTCCATCCATCTTATTATCCTTCCCAGGCTCAACACAAGCCAACCCTTCAGGTCTCCATGTCTATATCTGACCCATAGTCTGGGAACTCTCCCATTTCCTGTGCAATATGCCTGAACTCTGACCTCCATTCCTTCTTCCTCACTCTTAACAAGTGGCATTACTACCTGTCTTCAGCTTCCTGACCCAGTCAAATGTTTTGCTGGAAGGGGAGTGGTCTCTTCCCATTGCCCACCCTTCCCTGTACCTCTAGAGGAAAAACTAGAAAAGAACAGATGTTGGTGTCCAGAGAGTTTCCAAGAGGAAATGACCAGCGATATCCCGTGGTCACCATTGCCTTGGCCTCTGGTTTGAAGGGACCAGTATTCAAAGAGCACTTGGCTCATCTTGCCCTTCTGGTCCATCTTCTTTCTGCATTTGTTTCCAGACTCTTCCTTTTCTGCAGTCTCTAGGCCCTTGTTCTTATAGCATTACCCCCTTCTCCCATAGGTATCAGAACTTTATTCTCCTGGTACTGGTGGTTCTGGTAACTATCTGCCTCAGTTAAGCTGGGTCCTGACCCTGAGGTCCAGTGCTCCAGAAGAGCAGCACCCATGGGGAAGGTACACTCACACACACAGGCCTATGTGCGGGAACACCTGTTCGGGCCTCTGTTGCTACCTGTGGGTCATTTCTGCTTATCTCTCCACCTGCTCCCTCTGCTCCTTCCCTCATGGTTGCTAATATTGTTACTAACATAATTGTGCTGTGCTCTCTCCCACTAGCCTCTACACAGTTACTTAATCAGTTACCATCTGACTTCCTGGGGGGACAAATTGTGTGTGTGTGTGTGTGTGTGTGAAGCCACAGTCCTGGAGGCACTCAATAGTGCCAGCCTGTGAATGCCAGCACTTAGAATTTTCTTTCCTGAGGGACCCTAGAGGTCCTCATTATTGGCCATTGCCAATAATGTTGGTTGTACACTGGAAGCGGATGGTAAAACCTTATTGCTGAAGACACCACATGATGTGAGCATGGGAGAGGGAGAAATCGAGCTTGGACTAAGCTGGAAACTCCCTGCCACTGGATGGGTAGCTTTCATAGTGTCAGAAGGTGACATACAGATTGCTGGGGGAGAACTATCCCCCTATAATTCTGCTCAACAATGGACCCCATGTACTGCACTATCAACATGACAAACAAGATGTTCCAGCTGGTGTGATAGTGGCATGTCTAATGTATGTACAACCAGCAAATTTTCAATTGGATATAATGCCCACTCCTAGAGGTGGAACACACATCTGGTACTGTAGACCAGGCCAACCCCCTGTGGCAGGGGAGAATATAGGCCCTATAGGTGGGGAAGTCACTGCAATTGTTTTGTTAGATGGATGTAATGCACCTGCTAAAGTACCATCCAAACATTTGTGTTTATGCCATAGGTTAAGTTATTATAGCTGCCACTGTTTAGATGGTCTTGCTTCTTGCTGTTTGTGTTTTTATAGTAGATGGAATCCCACTGAAATGGGAAAACAGATGATGCAGAGATCTGAAAGTTCAGTGCCTTGCCACAATGGGAGGAAGATCATCCCACACCCACCACCCCCTCCAAGGCTCAGGGACACTTTTGGACAGGTGGGTGGAAAGAATGTAAGAGCTGGAGGAAAGGGTGGAGTGTTACCTGGAAGTGTCCTCTGACCACTATGCCAGCAAGCTACAGTCACACCTCCTTCCCATGCTAGTCAGGGAGTCGGAAGGGGGGAGTCAGTTACCCCTCTCACCCAATCAGACGATCTTAGCTGCATGTGGGGGAGGGGCTAAGGATATATAAGCTGAGAATGTCACGAGGCACCTCTCTTGCCATTTTGTGCCACTATTGGGAAGTCACAGGATCTATATCTGAGTATGGACTTTCCGGTGCAGCCATAAATGGAGGGCTCTCACTCTTCTGTAAATAAACACTCACCCTATGCTGTTAACAAGTCCAATAAACTAGTTAGGATTTTCAAAAAAAAAAAAAGAACAGAGCTAATGGAAACCATTATTCCACCAAAGTTGACCCCATGTTGGCAAATCTTTTGGTCTTTGATTTCTTATTCCTATCCCACCCCTCCCTCTTAAACTTCATTGTATAGATATTTTTATGTAACTTGCTTGAAGTTATTTCTGTCAAAATGTGTTAAAATTTTTTTATTCTTTGAAATTAAAAAAAAAAAAAAGACTCTCTTCCTGGGTACCATGGAGTGACCTCAGCAGCATCTCTTTGCCCCCATTGCTTCTCTGGGTGTTTCAAGGTCTTGCTGCAGACTTTAACCTTAAGTCCTCCAGGATGCCCAATCACTGAGTGAGGTTGCTGGACCTCAAAGGCAGGCAGTGGAAAGCCATCAAACCCACAGCTTCAGGCTGGGGGCTAAACTGGAGCAATTACCTTCTGGAACATGCCTAGCTTGGGTCATACTGTCTCTTGAATGTTCCCAGGGGTGCATCTTCACATGGATGATGGCCCAATGGTCACCATGGGGGCTTCTACTTTGTCACCTGGTCTGTCTGCCACTTTGGTTTGTGAGCATCTTGTTTCTTCCTGTTACCTCCACAAGTTTCTTTCCAGTCACTCCGGCAACAAATTGCTTGCTTATCATACTGTGGTTCAGTCTTACAGGGACCCCCTCGATATGGTCCTTCTTCCATATTTAGCCCCCGTCCTCCTCCATGGCTGTGGGAAGCCAGTTCTCTCCACGAGGGCCCATTCCTGCCTCTCTCCTCATATCCCTGTTTTCTTTTGTTCCCTTTACTGTCCAGAATCTGCCACCTTCCAGACCTGGTCAGTGTCCCTCTCTGCATCCTGACCACAGGCTTCCTTCAGGAGATTAAAGACTTGTTATTTAATCATTTATTCGTGTTACCATTATTATTATTTGCAGTGTTGGAGATTGAACCCAGGGCCTCATATGCATACTAGGGATCCACCACTGAGCTACATTCCCTGCCCACATTCTCACTGTAAAAGATGGAAAATAAGTGGTCACAGCTGGGTACGATGGCCCACACCTTTAATCCCAGAACTCAGGAGGTAAAGACAAGAGAATGTCTGTGAGATAGAGGCCAGCCTGGTCTATATAGTGAGTTCCAGGCTTGCTAGGGCTACAGAGTGACTCTGTCTGAAAAAGACAAAAAGAAAAAAAAAAAGGATCACATTTGGATTTGCTTCCACATTCTTTCTTCCTCCCTTAAAAAAATTGTTATTAAAATTTGGTACCTTTTCCCTTTACTGGTTTGGAAGGTTTTCCCTCCTTTCCTTTGTTTCATCCCCTAGTTTCTAAAAAAATTAATATGCTCATATAGCATGGAGTCTGAAGTAGAACTGGGAGATGACTCAGTACGGTGTTTGCCACACAAGTGTGAAACCTGAGTTTGAATCTCCACATAAAGCAGGATGTGTGTGTGTAGTCTCTGGGCTTCTGCAGGGAGCTGGGAGGCAGGGAGACAGAGGCTCTCTGGAAACTCATGGCAACCTAGTGGGCATAGCGGTGGAAAAAATGACAAGTGACTGTCTCAAACAAGGACTGACACCCGAGGTGGTCCTCTGATTTCCACATGCACTCTGTATCATACGTGTCTCAAACAAGGACTGACACCCGAGGTGGTCCTCTGATTTCCACATGCAGTCTGTATCATACGTGCACCCACATTCACACACACACACACACGCACACACACACACACACACACACACACACAATCAAGTCAGTTGGTCTTGTTCCCTGTTGTAAAACAAGGAAAGACAAACTGGTCCCACTCTAGCCCAGTGGTTCAGGTCTTTCTTCCTTGCTATTTGAATCCACAGTCCAGTTTTTATTTTCACCCCTGCATAGTTAAGTGTCTTAGGTTCTGCATTTTTGCCTTCTTTATTGTTTCTCCTTGCATTCAGCTTTCCCTCTGGAATCATTTTTCTTTCTGATCTATAATCTTAAAAATTCTTTCAAAGAAAGAAGGTTTTTTAGGGGGCAGGGAAAACCAATTTTTGTTGGTCAGAAAACTTTTTCTCTTTTGGCTCTATTTTAAGGGACGGTTTCCCTGGTTCTGTCAGTCTCAGGGGCAGTTGACATCTTCAGCACTTGGAGGGACTGTGTCACTGTCTCTGGCTTTCACTGTTGCTACAGAGAAGGCACATGACCTGGCATTGTTACTCCTGTGTCCTGCACCTCTCTCTTTTCTGACTGCAGTCAACATTTTGCCTTTGGTGTTCCGCAGTTTTGATGAGATTCCTGCATCTTTCATCAATTCTAAAAAACTCTGTTCTTCCTTATGGTAATACTTCCTTTTCTCAGTCTTTCTCAAACTCCAATTAGACACTCATTGACTTATTCCAGTCCATCCTATCTTTCAGTGTGTATTTTCCCCTCTCCTCAGACCTTCAGTTCACAAATTCTCCCTCCAGATGTGTCTCTCTACTGTGCTGTCAATGTGTTCACTGGGGTTCTAATTACAATAACTATAGTTTTCATTTCTACAGCTTATTTGTGTTTAAAAAATAATTTGCCTGTAATATTTTGGAGGCTCTTGCTCTTTTTACTTTAAAATTTTTTCTTTTTGGTCTTTTTGAGACGTGGTTTCCCTGTAGCCATTGCTGTCCTGGAACTCTCTATGTAGACCAGGCTTGCCTTGATCTGACGGAGATCTGCCTGCCTCTGCCTCCTGAGTGCTAGGATTAAAGGCATGTGCCACCACACCTGGCTAAAATTCCTCTTTTTAGTTCCTTAAACATAATAAGTATTCTTTTTTAAAACTTACTTTATTATTTTTATTTTATGTGTATGCATGTATTGCCCGCACATAGGTAAGTGCACCTGTGTTGTGCAATGCCCGAGGAGGACAGAAGAGGCTGTCAGATCCCCTGGGACTGGAGTTATGGACAGTTGTTAGCTGCCATGTGGGTGCTGGGATTTGAACCTGGATCTTCTGCAAGAACAGTCAGTGTTCTTAACTGCTGAGCCATCTCTCCAGCCCCCAAGTATTCTCATTTTTTAATATTTTTATCACATTTTATTCATCTGTGTGCATGTGTATGTGTGCGTGTGTGTGTACACACATGCATGTGTGCACACACATACCATGGTGTGCATGTGGAGGTCTAAGGACCACTGTGGGAGTCAGTTTTCTCTTTCTACCATGTGAGTTCTGGTTGGCACCTTTGCCTGCTGAGCCATGTCATTGGTCCACATTCTTATTTTAAAATGCTACTTCCCACAGTCTTTGTTGGTTTTACTCTATAGTCTGGCATTTTGAAGGTTTTGTAGCATGCATAGGTTTTTCTAAGTCTTTCATTTCCAGTTTAGGACTTAGCTTCCTTGGCCTATGAAATCAGGAAGCTCTCAATTGTCCATGTCCCAGTTTTTCAATTAAATTTTTTTTCAAAAATTTATATATTTTCATTTTATGTATATGAGTGTTATGCCTCATGTATGTAAGTGCCCATGTCGTGCAGTGCTCACAGAAGACAGAAGAGGGTGTCCTCTAGGACTGGAGTTATGGACAGTTGTTAGCTGCCATGTGGGTGCTGGGATTCAAACCCGGGTCCTCTGCAAGAGCAGCCAGTGCTCTTAACCGCTGAGCCATCTCTCCAGCCCTAGTTTTTCAGTTTTTGCCTCTTTTGTGTTGCCTTTGTTCTTACAGTTTGTTTATGCCATTTTAGTTTGTTTTTAAGCCACTTTTAGTCATGAGTTCTAATAATATGGTTTCAGTAATTGAAAAACAAGCAGGTGTTGTCCCGAGATCTGTTAGCTAATTGTCTTGTGTTTTTGAAAACAATATAAATGTTGCTAAAACTAAAATAGAGGTTAAGGGATGACAAGCTCTCTTGTTCAGAGAAAGAATCCCTCCCACCCCTACCCCTGTGCTGAGGTTAAAGGCATGTACCGCCACACCCAGTCTGAGAAAGAATTTTTTTTGTTTGTTTTGAGAGGGTTCCTGTAGCCCCAGCTGGCCTGGAATTTGCTATGTAGACCAGGGCCTGGGTGAGATCCACCTGCCTCTACCTACCAAGTGCAGACACCAAAGGTGTGTGCCACCACATACTTTGAGAAAGAATTCTTAAACATTAACTGAATTGACTGGTTTCTTAACTCCAGAATGTGTATTTTTGAGCTGACTTGTCTTGGGGGCCTGTCTTAGTTACTTTCTATTGCTGTGATAAAAAACACTGACCAAAACCAAGTTGGGGAGGGGTCACAGTTCATCACTGAGGGAAGCCAAGGTAGGAGGAACTCAGGGCAGGAACCTGGAGGCAGGTGCTGAAGCACAGGCCATGGAGGAACGCTGGTTACTGGCTTGCTCCCCTGGTCTGTGCCTTATTTTCCTGAGACAGGGTCTCTCACTGAACCTGGTGATTCCTGTTTTTTGGCTAGGCTGGTGACCAGCAAGCCCCAAGGACCTTCCTGTCTTCACTCACCCCTGTGCTGGGGTTGCAGGCATTTGTGGTTACCCCTGGCTTTTTAATGTGGGTGCTGGGGATCTGAGCTCAGGTCTTCATGCTTGCACAGGAAGAGCTCTTACCTATTGACCCATCTCCTCAGCCCTTTTTATTTTCTCCTCATGTAGCCCAGGAGAGCCTTGAACCCCCTATCTAGCTGAAGCTGGCCTTGAACTCCTGATCTTCCTACCTGTACATCCCAAAAGCTGGGAATTATAGATGTGTACCACTAAACCCTTTGAGGTTGGTAACATTTCTTTAAGAGAAATTTAATTGTTCTCAGGCATATCTGAGCTTTACCCCCAGTAGAAGGTGGTTCGAGCTCTGAGAAGCCATGCATCGCTCTCTCTAACAAGTTTTGTGCTCCCATGTCAGTGTTGTAGACTGAAGAAGCCACTTGGGGTGCTATAGAGTTGACTCTCATCTCAACTGTGACATAAACCCCAAAAGACCACAATACAACAGAGGGATTGTAAAATGCAGACACACATAACTAACACTTTACGACAGAGACATGTTCTAGGAAACGTGTCTCTTAGGTGGTTTTGTCATCATGCAAACATCAGAGAGAATGTTTACACCAACTAAGATGGCTATGATATCACTAGGTCTGGACACACACTGCAAAATAGTACAGAGGGTTCCTTTGGCATCTGAAAGATCCAGTCTGTACCTCTGGAGTGCTTCAACTCATCAAGTCCCTAAACTGTATATCTAAGTGGAAACTACCAGAAGGCAAGACTCTTGGAGGGGGATGGTTACCGGCTTACTTTCCCTAGACATGGCTTCTATTCTTGGTTTTTACTGGTTGTCCTGGTAAAAACCTTTCCTATTGCCATACAATGAGATTATGTAAATTACTTTTTTTTTTTTTGAGACTGGGTGTCATACTGTAGCCAAGGCTGGCCTCTAACTCTTAAGTGCTGGGACTATCCCATTTCTTTATTTCCCCTTTTGCCTCAGCTACCAGAAGTTCAGGGGCACTTTTATATCACAGAAGTAACCAACTCATTGAATATTTCTTATGTAATTCTTTCTCCTCTCTCTTTAAATAGTTTCTCATCTTTTTGTCTTCATTTTAATTGTACAGATCCCTTACCCACAATTCAAAAATATTAAACAAAGATTTAAAAATGGAACACTTCTTTAAATTCATGAAGCTCAGTGTGAATATTCATGTGTCATTGCAGAATACTAATGTGTTTGATTTCAGGGCACTGCCCCAGGCCCTTCGAGGATGTTATATAATATATAGCATGCTCTTTCTAAATTCTGAAAGATTTTGAGCTCTGAATTGTAGCTAACCCTGAGGATTTCAGACTGGACGCTGTGGACCTGTGAGTGAGTGAATGTGGGCAGGTCTTCACGAGTCCTGTCCTCTGGCGAGCAGGCATGTGACATGCAGAGGCTCCCAGAAGGCTATGCGCCGATGTCATCGGATATAGAAGGAAGCCAAAGGGAGACCTGCTCATGACTGCCATCCAACGCCCCACCTCAACGCCCCACTAGTGGCTGGTGCCATTACCTGTCTCTGGAACTTCTTGTGGTCGTCGCATTTTCTTGGACACTTTCAGAGCTGATTCCAGGTTATAGACTTGAGAGCGCGTTAACTTCAGCTCCCTGCGGAGCTCATTAATTTCCTTGATCAGAGAGACATTTTCCTTTAGAAAAGAAGGAAAGAGAGTGACTATGATGTGTGAGTGTTCAGAGGTTGCAGGGCATGCCCTTCTGGGGCTGAGAGGGTGGGAACACACAAGAACGAGTTTGGATTCGGGTGAACTCTCTGCATCCTCCCCGGGAGTGAGGCTCTGTCCTGCTCCTTACCCTGCCTTTCAAGGTACCAGCTGATTTGCTTTCAAGTGGACTAAACACAGTTCCTGTCCATCAATAACTGCGTTCCTAAGTACTTTGAATATGTTTTTAAAGTTCTCAAGCATAGGAACCCTATGACTAGATTCTATTACAATCACTTGGTGGGGGTGCTAGAGATTGAACCCAGGGCCTTGTGAATGCTAAGCATGTGCTCTACCACTGAACTACACCCCCAGACCCTACAATCATAAGTTTACAGAAAAGGAAAGTGAGGCAGCAAAGGACAGAGAAACTATGTAAGTGGCTTGGATCACACACTTAGCAAGTGCAGAGCCAGGATTCTAACCCCAGCAGGCTAGCTCTCAAGCTCTGAGGTACCGGTACTATCCTCTCTCATTCATCGCCTCTCCTGCCAATCATCTGTTGAAACTAAAGGGCATGTACAGTGTGAAGAATGCAACAGAAGACACGTTCCTGCCCTTAGCACCATGTTGCTTAGTGAGCACCACAGAAAAGCAGGTACAATTGGATTTGTTACAGCCACTGAAATTTACTTCCCTCATTTGTTTGACAGAGACTCATTTCTCTAACATCTGAACTGGGGACCCATCATGTGCCAGCCACTGTGTTGCTCCTGGGGAATATAGAACGTGAGACCTGCTCCCTGCTCTTGAGGACTTTATGGTCTAGTGGAGGAAGACATATTTTAGCTTGGCTCCAGCTTGCTGATGCGCAGGAGTGGGACACACAGTGAAGACATGCAGTCTTACCTGAGTGACACATGGATTCTTAGGAATTGACCTTGGGGCTGAGGCTTAGCAAGGAGGGGGGAAATGTCCCAGAGATCTGAACAGCAGGATACAGGCCATAGAATGGGAGGAACAGTTTCTTCTCTCTCCTTTCCCATCAGATTCCACCTCAGGTCTCTAACTTCCACTTCACACTTAGCTCAAGGGCCTCAAGGTAGCACTAGGGAGGAGTCCCTGTCACTATAGACCCAGAGTGACTGGCCACTTTGTCTTAGAGCCCACAGCTCAGCGTTCAGCTCATTTCTCATAGAGCCTCACACATGATGGCAGATAAATCACCGAGAGTCTTGTTAGTGAAGCTGCTGGCTCTGTGGGTCTGGTATGGGTCCTGAGAGTCTATATTTCTTTCTTTTCTTTTGTGTATGAGTATGTGTGACATATTCTGGTGGTATGTGTGCATATGTGTGCATGTTCGTGTGTGTGTGTGTGTGTGTGTGTGCAGGCCAGAGGAGGACATTGGCACCCTGTTCTGTCACACTCTGTCTTAATTCCTTGAGGAAGGGTCTCTCACTGGGCCTGAAGCTAGGCTGGTGGCCAGCAAGCCCCAGTTATCCTGTCTCTTCCTCACAGTGTTGGGGTTACAGGTACATGTGGGCACACCAGCGGGGTACATGGGTACTGGGGATTTGAACTCAGTTCTTTACACTTGCCACCTCCCAGTCCAAGACTGCATTTCTAAATGGCTCCCAATGAATTCTGCTGCTGCTTGTCTGCAGGCCAAATCTGTGTAGGATGAACCCGTCCCAGAAACACACTGGGCCTCAGCTTGAAATACCCAGTGCTCACTGCCAGTCCCCCATTCTCTAGGTCAGGTTCTCTGCCTATTTTTCTAAGTTGGCAGTTTTTCTCCATCTAATGCTTTACCATTTTAACCAGCCCTGGCCCTGGTGATGGATCACCCACATTTCCTGTCCAGATGCTGTCTAATAAAATTCCCTGCCAGTCTTCCCTGGAGCTTCCCCATCCCAACTTTATATCATGATGTGATTACCTCAATAATTTTTATTGGCTACTAAGACCTTGGACCCTTCCTTGCCCGTGAGAGGTGCACAATAAATAGTTCTGGGCTGGATAAGCAAGTGGATAATGTGTTGGACCCCAGAGCAGCAGGGAGGGTCTTCTGAGAGCCACAAGGAACTGGCATGCTCACAGGCTTCGGGGGGGGGTCTCCCCACTCCTCATTGTTGCTTTGTTTAGCCTCACTTCTGACTCATCCAATAATATGAGAATGAAAATTGGAACGAAGACTAGACACTGCAGGTACCATTTTCGAGTCTTCTCAGGTTCCATTTTTAGTGACTTCCTCTCCTTGGTCACCTCCATCCATTCTATCACTGAATCCCACTGATACTGTGTCTCAGCTGCATCTTGTGTTCATCCCATTGGGATTTATAAGCAGCTGTTGGCATCTCTCCCCTCTACTCTTGTAATGACCTCGGGCAGAGCCCTTGCCCTAGGTTCTTCCCATCTCTTCCACCAGCGGCAACCTTGCGATTGGGATTTCTAGCCTCTGATACCTTTATTATGAGTGCCTATCTCTGACACCACCACCATCTTTGACATCCCTTTGATGGGCTAAAAGGGCATGACTCTGCCTTGCTGAGCCTTCTGTTCCTGCTTGCATTCTGGTCAGGAAGGTCTACAGAAGCCTCTCCAATCTTCCAGACCCTGACCCAGCTACTGGGCTACAGAAAAGATCTGACCGGTTTCAAGTTTTGAGAATCTGAGAGACTGGGGGACACTAAGGTATTTACAGAGAAATTTCTAGACAAGGGGATGGGGGTTACTTTAGGCTTTTGGGACTGCTTGATGCCCCACCAGAACTTTCTGACACCCATGGTATGCGGCAGAGGGAAGTGAATGCTCATAGCTCCCCCTGCTGGCTGCTTGAAGTCAATATTTTCCGAGTAGGCAGTGCCTGTGTGCAGAAGCTGGCGGCAGATCATGCTGTGGTCTGGGAAGCCTTGCATTTTAGTGGGATTTTCTAACTGCACAGATGAGCCTGGATCCTCCTCTGCCCTTTCCACCTCCTCTTGGCTGACCTGGCATTTCCACCTATCGTGTTTGCTCTGTAATGCCTTTGGCATTTCCACGTTCCGGATCCCAAGCTCTTCTCATTTACCCTTATTGTCACAGCATCTCATAACACGTTTTCCTGCCACCTGCCTCTTTCTCCACTAGACTGCATACTCCACCTTTTGAGTTTATTTATTTATTTACTTTTTGATGGCTAGTTCCTAAACATGCTAAGACATCTTGCCGGGTTAATTTCATCTTTCAAGTGGATAATGTGTTAGACACCAGAACAGCAGGGAGGGTCTTATGAGAGCCACAAGGAACTGGCATGCTCAGAGGCTTGAGGGGGGGGGTATTTTTAAATTAAAAAAGTTATTTTATGCATGTGAATGTTTTGCCTGTGTGGTGTAAGTATACCCATGTCATACATTGGGTACAGAGGAGAGTGTGAGATGCCCTGGAACTGGAATTATGGACAGTTGTTAGCTGCCATGTGGGTGCTGGGAACCCAGAGATCCTCTGCAAGAGCAGCCAGTGCTCTTAACCAGCTGAGCCACCTCTCTCCAACCCCAAGGTTTTGTTTTGTTTTGTTTTGTTTTTGAGACAAGATCTTCTTGTAGCTCCAGCTGACCTGGAACTTGCTATGTAGACCAAGCTGGCCACCAGCTTCTGCCTGTCAAGTGCTGGGATTAAAGGCGTGTACTACCAGACCTGGTTCATTCATCTTTTTGAGATAAAGATAACCCTATCTGAGTTGAACAAGATGCATTTTATGCTTCTTGGCAGGGGATGGAGGGCCCTTTCCAACATGACCCAAGACCACTGGGTCTTTCTCTCTGTTTCAGATGCTTTGCAAGAAACTAAGGTCTGAGAATTCATGGGTCTCCTCACCAAGTGCCGCCCTCTCCTCTGGTTTTTCTTAGGCTGTTGCCTCTGCCTGGAAGGAAGATGATCCTCAGTCACTTTCTACCTACCCGGAGGCCAAACTCCAAAGTTGCTTGCTCTTAGAACCTTCCTTGAATCTTCAAGGCATGTTTCCACTGTGAGCCCATACCACACACTCATATCTTGCCCAAGTTCCTCAGGAGAAGCTCCCTGAGGGTGCAAACACTCTTACATGGAATCCTCCATGGCTGACAGAGCTTGTTATGTAAGGAGCCCTTGAAAAATGTGAGCGGAATGAATAAAATGTGTGTCTTAGATGTTTGTGTTGCATAGCAACTCTTATTTCCATATCTGTAAGCATGCTAAGCAATGATGTGGGGAGGCACCTATCTGGATATACAAATGAGACAGTGGCCCAATTTTCCTCAGTTATTTTCCTACGAGTTACTCTCAGACATCATGCCTGCCTTGGCTTTCCTTTAGTCACTTTGGAACAAAGTGAGGGGGACCTAGTAGGCCGCATACCCAGCTCCAGCTAGCTCCTGCCAACATGTCTTGAGTCAGCCAGGGCTCCTGGCTGCTTTCTGGGGTAGGAGTGATCTAGAATCAGTTGTGCTGTCCCCTCTCCCACACCCAGGCCACACATACCCTTGGTCCATGCTATGATGGACTTTTAGACTCTTTCCAGAGTGGTTCTAGAATAAGTTCTTTGGTGGGGTGAAGGAAAGGAAGTGACATCCAAGCCCTGGTTCTGTACCAGGCCAGTGCTCAGTGTTTTATATTACTTGTCTGGGCCAAGCCTCACAGTAGCCACTGAGGTGGTCTTCTGACCCATGTTACAGATAAACATAGTGGCCCTTGGAGAAGTTAAGGAATTTATCTACAGTCTCCTGACCAAAGAGCAATGAATTGCCTTAGTCTACACAGAGACTGTGCCCATTTGCCTTCCATACCCTGGGTGAGAATATAGCTCCAAGTCCAGTTTTGCCTGCATAGGCCCTGCAACTAGATTCACCCTGGCCCAGCCTTCTCATTCAACCTCGAGATCAAAGAAGGAAACAATTTTTAGTACCTAGAAAAGTAGCTTGGAAATTCCTTAAAAAAAAATTTTTCTGGGGCTGGCTGGAGCGATAACTCAGAGGTTAAGAGCACTGACTACTCTTATAGAAGATCTGAGTTCAGTTCCCAGCACCTACATGGCAGCTAATAACAGTCTCCAACTCCAGTTCCAGAAGAGCTGACGCCCTCTTCTGACCTCTATAGGCACTGCATGACACAGGTGCACTCACTCACATGCACACAATACACTCATACACATAAAATAAAAATAATAAATAAAAATTAAGAAAAATCTTCCCAGGGGACTGGAGAGATGGCTCAGCAGTTAAGAGCACTGGCTGCTCTTGCAGAGGACACGGGTTTGATCCCAGCACCCACATGGTGAGTAACAACCATTTGTAACTCCAGTTCCAGGGGATCTGATGTCTTCTTCTGTGTGGGCATTTCATGATATGGGTGCACTTACATACATACAGGCAATATACTCATACACACAAAAACGAACAAAAATAATAGAAAATCTTCTGGGCTGGGATGTAGCTCAGTGGTAGAATATTTACTTACAAGCATGAGGCCCTGGATTCATTCCTTAATGCTGGGAAAACACACTTCCTAATTTTTTTGCCAAGTCTTACCCACTATAGAAGTCTCTCTCTCTCCTCTCTCCTCTTCTCTCTCTCTCTCTCTCTCTCTCTCTCTCTCTCTCTCTCTTTCTCTCAGAGGACCCAGGGCCTGATCCCAAGGTGCCCTTCTTGTCCTCTGAGGTTGTCTGAGCTACCTTTCTGGAGCTACAGGACGGCACAGTGCACAGTACAATGCTGCTCAAGATAAAGAGACTTTTCCAGGGGTTCCCCTCACAGGAGCCCTGGCTGGGTCTCTTCTGCAGCTTACTCCCACCTTGACCCAGCACTCTCTAGGGAATGGGAGTGAGAAAGAAGACACGATGGCCCCAGCAGCGTCGTGCAAACATTCTTCCTACCCTGTAGCCAGTCTGTGGTCTTCATGTCTCCATTTCCTAGGACTAATCTGCCTTGGGCATCTGCTTGGTGTGGGCAGAGGGACCAGCCCTTAGAGGATCCTCAGGCCTACATGGTGCTAGCAGGGCTCAGTCATGCCAGCCGGTGACAAATGCTTCTGCTGTCACCCTGGTCCCACTGCCTGGCTTGCTGCAATCAGAGTCTAGAGCCTCTCCATGTTCCAGGCACTCCAGGCAGTGGCTCTGTATATGGCCTGCTGGTATCAATGGTCCTACCAATTACATATGCTTATCTTTCTGCATCTCTGACAGGGGTCCCCCTCACAGGAGCCCTGGCTGGGTCAGACAGCTTTTGTGGCCTAGAGTAGAAATGATTTGAATGGGGAATTGGGACAGTTGCTGGTTTTAGGATGGCATCAGATCAGTAGTACCTGAGTCTGGCCTGGATTTCTGTGTGCTCTATCCAATTGTATATAGATTCTCTAACCTAGTATCTGGTTTTAATCCAACTGCAACCCTGTCCCCATTCCAGTATTTTAACTAGGGCATTAAAGACATGCAAATATAAAAGCATGTGCCATATATGATCCTGATGTTCTCTTTTGATATGAATTTATAAATTGCCTCAGATGATACTGATACCCAAACAGCAACCTGGCAGAAGCATGCTGATGGGCAGTCTCGATTTATCACTTGAGTGGGGGTGGCAGGAATGAGGCCAGGCTCTCTGAACAGTCTGATAAAGAATCCTGGGAGTTGGGTGTGGGGAATCTCATTAAATCTGATCAGTGCCAATTCGGTGGGTGTGGTTAACTTGGGACCAAGAGATAAGAGTAGGACCCGAGGCACCAGAAAAGGGAGCTGAGGCAGGTGGAGACCAGCCAGACTTGTCCTAGTAGATGGGAAGAACAGAATAAAAATCAGCAAAGCAAAGTCACATGAAATGGGAGTTGGAACCAGAAGAGAGAAGGGAGAGAGGGAGTCAGGAGGACTATGAGCTGGATGGAAGTACCTAAGAGCCCCGGGTCCCCAGGACACCAGAAGGAGCGCCTGGGGAAGCAGGGGACTTGAGGGCATGGAGTTGCCTAGATGGGCTCCTCGGTGGGCTCTGGGCTGTGGTCACAGCCAGAACAAGCTCTAGGACGTCAGAAGGGAGGAGCCAAGAGAAAGCTGTGGCTTTCTGGACATCTGGGGAGCCTGTAGGATGGGTGGTCTCAAAGGGACCATTGGCAATTCTCCCTCTGATGCTCAGCTTCCCAGGCAGCTTAAGGGTACATGCCATTACCTGCATGATGCGGACATAGTCGGTGCGGTGCAGCTCACTCTCCTTGACCACCTTCTTCTTGAGAGTGGCCAGGTTCCTCTCCAGGTGCTCCCGCTGGCGGGCATACTCCTGCTGAAGGTCTGAGTTCAGTCCTGCTATCTCCACCTGATGGGCCCAGGGGGACTCTCAGTGAAGAGAGGTGTGGTACACAGGGCAGGGCAGGGCAGAGCAGGGCAGGGAACTCATGCTTACCATGTCTGCCTGCTGCACGTACTTCTCAAAGAGACCACGGATCTTCTCCTTCAGCAGCCGGGGCTCCTGGATGTATGCCACACAGTTGTGAAGGTCTGTTTTAAACCGTCTGACCAGTGCTTCCAAGTCCCGCTCCTATAATCAGACATTTACTCCTGGGGCTGCAGGCAGGGGCTAATGGCACAGAAAGGGACAAGATTGTCCTCATCTGGGACTCACAGCTGACCACCAGGGGACACACTGGGCACAGAAACCTAGACGGGGAGCCAGTCAAGAGGTATCAACATTGAAACTCTGGTGTACCTGCCTGGACTGGGTATCCTGCCGGAACTGCCAAGATGACACTCAATCCTTTAGTAAGGGACACGTGGTGTCCCTTACTACCCTGGATTCCTTTAATAACCTCAGACCTTAGAAGATGAATGGAACCTCACATGGCTAGTCTTTCCTTTAAGAAAAAAGAAAGATAGTATAATTCTTTCCCACAGAATCCCATCCAGGGCTGCTGTGTCCCTCTTCTGAGCTCACCCAGTGCTTGTCTCTCCTGACAGTCAGGAACACTGCTGTGAATGGATGGGGGAAAATCCACAGATTGTTGCACATGAGAACTAGCTTTCTATCTTCAATTGTGCTTTCCCTGATGTCCATCTTCTCCTACCCTGACCTAGAGAGGGACTCTTCTTTCTCTATTCTCCCACACCCCTTTATCCACTACATATATATATATATATACATATATATATATATCTTGCTTTATAATATGCACAGACCATAAATCACATATCAGTCCTTTTGGCTTGTGAAGGGCAGGGCCAGGATCTCTTCCCACATGTGGTTCTGCAGCTTCTAGCACTATGTAATACAGTGCAAGCATTTGATAGAGAAGATGAAAAACTTCAGCAAACATTTTGGACGACGACCAGAAGACTCAGTATCCGGGACTGGCTCTATATGTGCTAACTAGTTATAAGAATGGGGTGAAGCTTCTTTACCTCCTTATTTCTGGCCTTACTTTCCTTATTTATAACATAAAGGGACTGGGATGAGGCAGGCAAAGTAGCATATACCTGTAATCTCAGCTCTGGGGAGGCTGAAACAAGAGGGTTGACAGTTCTGAAGCCAGCCTGGGCTAACAGAGTGAGTTTCAGGCCAGCCTAGGCTACAGAGTGAGACTTTCTCAAAACTAGCAGGGGGCTAGAGAGGTGGCTGAGTAAGAGAGCTTGCTGTGCAATCACAAAAACCTGAGTTTGGACCCTCAGCACCCACAGAAAGGCTGCAAAAATTGGGTTTGTCTGTACCCCTAGCACTGGAAGGCAGAGACAGGAGGATTCCTGGAGCTTGCTAGTCAGCAAACCCCACTGAAAAAGTGGCAAGCTCCAGGTTGAGTGAGAGACCCTGTCTCAAGGAGATAAGGGAGTGATAGAGCAGGACACCTGACATCCTCCTCTGACCTCTGCATAAGTGTGTACACACACACACACACACACACACACACACACACACACACACACACCACAAACAGAGAACAAACAAACACAATCAAACCTGAAGACCTAAATGGCTGGTCGCCAAGATTCTCCTGGCCTCAGTAGATGGTCAAAGCCTTTTAACCACTAAGAACAAATGACCTTCTTAAGCAGGTCAAACAAGCAAAGGCTGAGACTATTCCTTCAAAACTAGTGTCAGACCTCCCCACCCCCATCACCACACACAAGTCATTTTATAGTCTCAGATGAATTCAGTCATGTAAATTGGCACAGGCCTGGAATCAGACAGGGCTGTGGGCAAGAGTGTGAGTTAAAATGGGAAGTGTATCTTAGCAATGGCTGGCTGTGTCTCCAAGAGCCAGCTGCCCGTTGCAGGCAGGTGCCAGATCCTGAGTCCAAGCACCGCCAGACTCAGAAAATCCTCACACCTTCTGCTGCTCTTTGCGTAGCTCCTGATCTGTGGCTCTCAGTTTCTGCAACAGTTCCGTGATGTTCAGCTCCAGTTGTGTGTTCTGTTTATGGAAGCGCTCCAGCTCAGCTTCCATCTATAGAGAACCAGGGGAAAGAGGCCCAAAGGGAGAATCAGGGAATGTCAACTATCTTTGAGAACAGAAGTCTTTTGCTGGAACCTTCCCGAAACCAGGATTTTTTTTTTTTTCTAGTTCCCAGCTACATCCTCTAGAACGAAACCTTTCTTTTTACTTCTTGTCATCCTAAAAGCCTCCCACCCCTGACTGATGACATGTCTACCCAGGGTTGTGCATTCTACTGCCAGGCTGGGAATTTTTTCTCTTAGTCACTTTGCCTTTCCTTAACAATGTACATTCCTCTCTTCTTGAATTCCTTAACTCAAATAACTGAACTCCAAACTCCTGTGTGAGGCATGGTTCTCTAGAGAAGTACCTTCCTCCCCTGCATTGTGAGGTTGTGAGTGGAACTTGACTTTCAGGGGCCACTGTCATTCTAAACAGAAAATTGAGGGTTGATTCTGAAGTAGAGTTTTGAGGGACCAGGGTGGCAGGTGGGCATCTTCATTCTAGGGCATAAAACAGGTAAAGGCTAAGAAGAAGAAACATAGTCTCATCATTATGTTGAAAGGTCAAAGCAGTACAACTAAGGGCCACCCCATCTTCAAAAGAATGGCAGGAGACCACACCAAGCTTCTTGTTCTAACAGAGGCCAGTGAGGGATCACTGGACTTTCTGCTTTGGATGAAACTAGCTGGGTAGACCTGATTCAAAGCAAGCGGTGATGTTTTATTTACATCCCCAAATTTGGACACTAGTATTCCTGTTACTAGGGCAGCTCACTGACTGTTTTCAGGGGATGGGAGAGTTCATTGTTTTGTGTGTGAGGCGGGGGAAGTAGTCCTCACAAATCTATCCCAGGTTCTTTGGTCACATTGTTAGGTTTCTGGTAACTGTCTAGGGGTACCAGAAGGCTCTAACAAGCCATCTCCGTGTTCTGGACATAGAGGAACGCTTTCTTGCTGTAGGAAGCATTTTATTAGACAGAATAGCCTCTGATACAATGTCTGGCATCAAGGTGGACTCCATGAACACTTGAATGAATGAATGAATGAATGAATGAATGAATAGCAAGTGTGGTAAGCAAGGGGATCAGCAGTGAGGGATGTGAGCAGGAGTGCAATTACTTGCCTCTGGAGGAGGAGAGGCAAGAATACCAGGTATCAGTGGCAGAGCTATGTAGAGCTGCCTCACAGAGAATACACAGCAAGAGAGGGTCTTTGCACAGCTAAAGCAAGGGCCACTAGACTGTTGGAGGCTCAGGGATACAGAACTGATGAAGAGGTGGTGTTTGTTCGAGAAGCCTCTGGACTAAAAGGATGAGAGAAGAGAGCCAGAAGTTCTTGTGAAATGGGCATATCACTATCTGTAATGGAGGTAGAAGGCATCCTGTGTGTATAGAGGTGAGCAGGTGCCCTCTCCTCCATTGAAGGAACACTTCAGCTGAGTGTTATGGGAAGAATATTACAGGATAACAGAGAAAAAAGAATTACAAGCTGAGAGCAGCCTGTCCACAAAGGATCAGTGGCCTGCGGCAGCTTGGTGCATTTCTGTAGGCTGGCACTGCTGTAGGTGACTGAAAGATGATACGGCACTGGGGGAAGGCTGAGAGGTCACTGAGCTGGGAGTCACTGAACAATGTAACCAGGAGCGGCAGGGGCACCTGGTTCTACACAAGGGAGAGAACTGGAGGTCGGCAGGCAAGCCAGGAGGCTGCACTGGGCTCCAGGCAAAGGAAGAATGTTCTAGGCCAGTGAAATGGCAGCTGGAAGAGAAAAGTGGTGACCCTAATTTGCAGGGCTCCTGAAGGTCATGCCTGAGTGTGCACAGCTGACCATATTTCTCAGCAATCTTAAGTCAGCAGTGACAGACTGGGTTAGGATGGAAGCGGCCCAGGACTGGATTCTTTACCTTTGCTCGTTCCCCCACAGGCAAAGCCTCAAATTACTCCAAGAACATAAATAATCAGTTTTATAGAAAAAAATTGTGAACTATGTGAAATTTGAGTATCTGGCTGGGAAGCAGAAGACCAGCCTAGAATGTGGGGACAAACATCTTTCCCAGCATGAAAATTCCATTCACTTTTCCAAGTTATTCACCACACTGATTCGCAGTGGGGCAGGGGCGGGAGCGTGGAGGAAGCATTTTGTTCCCCAGGGGACCTTTGGCAGTGGCTAGAGATGTGTTTGGTTGTAACAGCCCTGGAAGGAGGTGCGTTGGCACTGAGTGGGTAGGGACAAAGGATGGTGTTAAGCATTCTAGAGCACACAAATCGGCCCTCCGTAGAGACTCCTCCATGCTGGTGTTGAGAAACCCTGCGTGTGATGAACAAATAAAGGAGTGCAAACTAAACTACAAGCTTCTTTTCCTACACAGGAAGAAGATGGAAAAGCTTGTGTGAAAGGAGGTGCCTCAGTCAAAGCTGGCTATGTGTTTCTCCACAGAGATCTCTATATAAGCTAAGGGCTTGAACCTTCCTTCCTGGAGGAAAAACCTCACCAGGGATTAATTGTGGTTATCTCTGAATGTGTCTATCTAACCCCAAGAAGAAAGCCTCAAGGTCAGAGGTTCCTGGAAAGAACCAGGTCCAGGTATCAGCAGCCACTGACACAAAGTGGGGGAGGGAGGTGGGAAGTGGGAGTGGGGGATAGGGTAGGAAGGTCTCTGTTCTAATCATTTCTAAGACACAAGTACGTTCCCCACTGAGAATCAAGGCCTTGCCCAGGATGGTGAATAATCCCACAGGTGTGTTGGTAGGTGGAGCCTTCAGAAGGTGGTTAGGTCTTGGGGTAGAGCCCTCACAAATAGAATTCGTGTCTTTAAAAAGAGGCTCAAAGGAACCTGTCACTCTCTATGAGATCCGGGCCCTCCCAGATATGGAATCTGCTGGTGTCTTGATCCTGGACTTCGCAGCCTCCAGGACAGTGAGAAAAATGTCTGTTGTTTATAAATTTCTCAGTCTGAGATATTTTGTTTCTGAAAGGACAAAGATCACTGCCATTCTTGGGCCCTGAAGTCACTAGAAAATGACAGGAGGCCCCAAGAGGGCAGCTCTGTGGTTAGCTTGGGGCAGAGAGAACTGTCTGCAGATGCTGGGGAGAAAGGCATTGCCCTCCTCTTGGGATTCTCTTCCCTGGACTCCTCTCCACTTGGCTTTTTCACTGAGTCTCCAAAGGCTTTGCAGGGCACACACACACCACCAGAACCCAAGGGCATCTAGGTGGGTCATAAATGCTGACACCTGTTGTCCCTGCTCAGGCAAACATCTAGAGAAAATGGAAGGGAGAGTGTGGTCGTCCTTTACAGGGCGGTCAGGGAAGGCCTTCGAAGAGGTGGCATCTAAGCTGAGACAGGGAAGATGAAAAGCCAGCCGTGTGGTGATCCAGGGACAGCCTTCCAGGCAGAGGGGCCACCACCACAGAGTTCTGAGATGGGAAAGCTGGCTTTTAGGAGCTGCCAGGAACCTGGCACTGGAGCAGGTGTGGGTAAGCTTGAGATGAAGCTGGCGAGTGTAGTCTTTGGGTTTTGTTCTAGTGGCATGGGACATGATTGGGGAGTTTACTCTGATCTCTGTTTGGAAGCCAGGCTGGAGCCTGAGTTGAGTCCAGATAAGAAATGGTGGAGAGGGCCTGTGAGATGGCTCAGTGGGTAAAGGTGCTTGCCGCCAAGTCTGATGATCTGAGTTCAATTCTTGGAACCCACATGGTCGATGGAGAAAACTGACTCCTGCAAATTGCCCTTTGCCCTCTACATGTGTTGGGGCATGGTGCCCCTCCCATGCCCCAAAATAAAGAATAAATGTAAATTAGTGTTAAAAAAAGAAAAGGAACGGTAAGGCTTGGACCAGGGTAATAGCAGCAGGGTGGTGGGGGGCGGGGAGTGCAGCGTTGGATTTGAAATCTTTTTTGGGACTTGATTCATAATGATTTGGATATGGGAGTTAAGAGAAAGGAATAATCAGGAAAGACTTCTAAATTTCCACTTTATGAGGGGCTAGAGCGATGGCTCAGCAGTTAACAGCATTGGCTGCTCTTGCTGAGGACCTGGGTCAGTTCCCAGCACCCACATGGCAGCTAACTCTATGTCCATGTCTGTAACTCCAGTTCTAGGGGATCTGCTGGCATTGTATGACACGAGTACACTTACATACATTCAGGTAAAACACTTGTACACATAAAATTAAAATAAATTTTAAAAAATTCTACTGAGAAACAAACTGGAGAGAGGGAGAGGGAAAAATCAAGAGTTTGGGAAGAAATGCCAACAATTCAATTTGAGGCCTATCTACCATGTCCCCGAGTCCTTGCTATTTTGTGCCAGTGAGAGGTAGTCTGACAGGCAAACAGATGTTGTAAGAAAATGCAAAGTGCAGGGGCCCAGAGGGAAAAGACTCCTGCGTCATCAAATTCTCAAAAACCCTTGTCTAGCTGGTCTTACTGCTAATCTCTCTCCTCTCTACCTCCATCCTGTTTGTTTTCCCGAACATATTCTTAGTTGTTCCATTCTTGGGCTCAAGAGTCTGTTAAGACTTCTGATTCCTTATCAGAGGAAGGCCAAACACCAGGCCCTGGCATGTGGCCTCAGCTATTCCCTGTTTGAGAAACAGCACTTGGTGCTTGGTGGGAAGAGCGCCTTTCTGCTGAATATATACTGCCCCCTGGTGGTCAAGTGTTCAACAGCCGCAGCTCCATTTGAGGCTACCCAACTGCATACTGAGCTATGGGCCCCAGGCACAGCAGCCTGACTCGAGGCCCAACCACCTTGCTGAGGAGCTGAGCCCTCAGCTGGACCAGTGCCTTCAGCTGGACCAGGTGACCTCATCTGTGGAGTGGAAGCCACAGGTATTGCTTGCTGAGAGGGGCCGTGAGAAGCATTTTCGTTCGTTTTCCCTGGGCCAGTGAGCAACAATGGAAAAGGAGACCGAGGTCTGAGAGGACAGTGTATGCCACAGATGGCTCTCACCTCCCGAATCTGCTCCTTCATCACTTTGATCTCATTCTCTCGAGCTTCTATTTGTTTCTTCAGCTCCTTTATTTTGTAGTCGAACACAAACTTGAATTTCTCTAGTTCTTGGTTTTTCTTTTTCAGATCATAAATTCGCTTCTCCTGGAGGTAAAATGAGAGGAAATTGAGAGAAGTGGGGTGGGGACAGGAGAGAGGGGTGGGGTTATACGGTCCTGGTACATGGAACCCCTCTAGGGCAAAGAAAACAAATCCTGTGACTCTGCTGCTGGAGGAGGCCACAGACTTCTCACAAGGGATCCAGAGGTGGGCATGCTCCCCACCAGGCTGCAGCACCAACTCACTTCACAGCAACTCATTCATATGTAGCTTATGGATGACTGCATCTCCCTTCCCACACTGTGACTCTTCTGCCATGTGACCTTGCCTTGTCTCTGTCAGCAAGTAGCATCCTTCCCTTCCCTCATATCTGATGGATTTATGACTTGTGACCCAAAGGATGCAGCTGAAGGAATGCTTTGTGGTTGCCAAGGCTATGTCAGAAAAGCCAGGCAGCTCCATGCCTGGCTCTCTTGGGACACTTGCTGTGGCAGAGGCTAGCTGCTGTGCAAGAAGTCCGATCATACTGAGCTTTCTGGGATGGAGAGCACATTCAGGGCTCTGTGGTTGAAAGACTCAGCTGAGCCCAGACTCTCTACCATCTCTACCACGGAGCTGAGCATGTGGAGGGAAGAGTCACTGTGGACATTGCTCTTCCAGCCTCTAGCTGTTTGAGTCCCCCTAGGCCCCGGCCTTTACACTGAGGCCTCAGACACCAGGGGCACAGACCAGCCATCCTGTTAGCGTGCCTTGTCCAAATTCTAGACCCACAGACTTTGACGGAAACAACATAGCTGTTTCTTTTAATCACTAAGTTTTTAGATAATTTGATGTACAGTCACAATAACTGGATCCTGGGTCTATCCATCAAACCTTTACTGAATGAAGTTCTGCTAAATATTAGAATCACAACTCTAAGAACAACAGAGTCCCCATTCTCCTGTCTTTAAGGAAAAAACACTAGCTGGTGAAGCAGATGTGTGAGCAAATACAGGCCTGAAATGCGATGGGTGCTGTAAAGAAGGAGACACAGAAAGCAGGATTTGTACGAGGTGGGGCAGAGAATAGCCTGCTTCAGCCTGAAGTGCTGATTCAGAGGGGAAGTGAGAAGTGAGGCTGGGGAAATAGTGGAGGTAAGACTTTTGGCTGTTGGTGTAAAGAGTTCAGACTTTATCCTGGTGGCCAGGAATTAGCAAGCTCAGCCTAAGAGCCAACCTTGGCCTGCCGCCTACTTTTGTAAATTCTGATTGAAACACAGCTGAGTGCATTCTGTTTTGTGGCTGGTTTCACACGTGGTACCCAGAGTTGATTCATTGAGACAGAGACCATATGGCCAAGGAAAGCCTAAAATATTTACCCTCTAATCAGAAATACTTCAGGCTACAGAAAAAGTTTGTTGACTCCTTCTGTAGGCCATGAGAACCTACTGACACATCTTCAGGGGGAGAATGACCTGACTGTGCTTGTACCCTGGCAGCTGTGCTGGTGGGAAAGGGGGAAGGCTGATGGACAGCGTTTATTTTATTTTTTATTTTTTATTTTTTTGTATTATGAAGCCTTGGTCCCTCTCTTGCCAATTTCCACTTTGAGAATCTGAAAAGGGCTCCGCCCCATCTCCAAAGCCCAGATTTATATACAAACTCTCTGGTATAGAAATGACATACAGGCACTATATCACCAAATCCTTACAAGCCCCTGTGACACAGTTCTCACCCCCCACTTTGCAGGGGATAACAGGAAGGCTTAGAGGAGTTGTCCAAGGCACAGTGCCTGAATAAACAGTGCCTGGTAAACAGAGGGGCCTATCTGGAAACAACTTGTCTATCGCTAAAGCCTGTGCTTGGCCACAAGAAAATTCTGTCTGGCAAAATGCAGAGGTGGGACTCGAATCTCTTTTTAAATTTTTATTATTTTTATTTTATGTGTATGACTGTATTTCTTGCATGTATTTAAGTGTACCTGTGTCATGCAAGACCCACAGAGGTCAGAATAGGGTGTCAGATCCCCTGGAGCTGGATTTACAGACAATTGTTAGCCGACATGTAGGTGCTGGGAACTGAACCCAGGTCCTCTGCAAGAGCAACCAGTGCTCTTAACCACTGAGCCCTCTCTCAGTGGAATCTTGACTTGCTCATTACAATACTAAATCCTGGACATTGAAGTGGTGTGCCCCACAGAATCTGTGCTTGTCTTCTGAGTGTTCTGTGACAAAGCCATCCTAAAAGGTGGCACCATCTTCCTGGGGTATACCCAGTGGTTATAGGACCAATCCTGTGGGAGTTCCTTCCTGACCAGCAGTACCATGGGGGCAGTGTGATAGGTGAGTTGTCCTCAGCAGAGGAGTGAGTCATTCTAGGATGTCTGGAACAGTGGAGGACAGGGGCTTCAGAGTCAGCTGACTCAGTTTCCTATCCCAAGTCTGGCCCCTATAAACTGTGTGATCATGGTCAAGATACTCAGTCTTCTGGAACTTCCCAAGCACAACCCTGAGTTGCTCATAAACCAAGATTGTTGGTAGAATTGAGTGGGATATGTTGGCACTAATTAGCACCATGCTAAACATCCAGTGGGTACTCCACTGATGGATCTTCTCCTACCGAGTCAAATAAATGGGCTCCAAGAACCCAGGACTCTCTCCCAGCCCTGTCCTCAGGCTCTGGGTCTCTTCAGGCTGTGGTTGGGGAGGGCAGAGAGAAGCCCTCACCTTGTCTTGAATTGTTTCATCCCTCTCCTGGATCTCTCGCTTGAGGCCTTGAATGTCCTTCTCCAGGGACTTGATGACTCCCTGAAGCTTCATCTGCTCCCCCTTTAGCATCTCAATGTCACTGGTTCGCTCTTCAATCTCCTTCTGCAGGCTGCTGAACTGAAGACAGACAGCAACAGTGAAGACCTCTGGGATCTTTGGGCCCATCTCCATTCCTCTCCCACCCTCCCCCATCAAGTGTGGATGGAGCGGCCTCTCCTCCAGAGAGAACTCACAGCCCTCAACATTGCTGGGTCTTTGGGAGTTACTGCTGCTATTTAATATTTTTACAGTTTTTTAGAATTGAGGAATAGTCTTTTTCCATTTTTGACAATTTATTCAGGTATACGCTGTACTGTGATCACATGTGCACACCCTCCAGTGTCCTCTTTCATTCCTGACCCTCTTCTTCCCAACAGTCTCCCTCTTACTTTCAAGAGACAGGGTGTTTCTGTATAGTCCAGTTTAGCCTTGAACTCATGATCCTCTTCCTAAGTACTGGGATTACAGACATGCACCATCATGCCAGGCTTATTTTGTTTGTTTTGAAGAATTTGGGACAGTTTAATATTTTCCTAGGCCCATTCACTGAAGGGGGGTGGGCGGCCTGTCTCTACAAGAGGCTCTAGGGACCAGCTCTCTAGGTGGACTTTGTCTTTTTCGGTTTTTGTTTTGTTTTTTGTCTTTTTGAGACAGGGTCTCCCTTTAGCCCCAGCTGGCCTGGATTCGCTATGGAGACCGGGCTGGCCTCAAACTCAGAGAGATCCACCTGCCTCTGCCTCCCGAGTGCTGGGATTAAAGGCATGTGCTACCATGCCCGGCTGGACTCTATTTTTTTTTTAATTTTTAAATTATTTTTTTAATTTTATTTGTACGAGTGTATTGCCTACAAGTATGTGAGTGCACCTGTGTTGTACAATGCCGCGGAGGTCAGAAGAGGGCTTCAGATTCCCCTGGAACTGGAGTTAAGGACGGTTGGTAGCCGCCATGTGGGTGCTGGGAATCGAACCCGGGTCCTCTGCAAGAGCAGTCAGTGCTCTTAACCGCTGAGCCAACTCTCCAGCCCCTGGACTCTGTATTTTTTACACCACCACACTGATCTTGAGAGGTGGAGATTGGTGGTCTACAAAGGTCAGAGATGGGTCCACTTCGGTCATGTCTAAGAAGGGAAAGCCTGACTGTGCTCTAGACTCTGTCTTTAATAATGCAGTTTCTAATAGGAAGCTTTGATTCCTAATGAGCTGGCTTTGAACTTAGCTTCTCTAAGGCTAGATATTTTGGAGAAGATGAAGCAATTCTATACAGATCTATGAATTACATCCTCCCTCAGCCATCAGTGAACTGAACAGCTGTCCTACCTTGTAAACAAGGCATCTTACACCTCCTAACAAGAAGTCTGAACAGGAGTCATCAGAGCTGAGGCGACCTCTAGGCTAAGTGGAGACCTATCTAATCCTCAGAAGAGTCCAATTCCATTTCTGTTGGATCCTACTTGCTCAGAAAGGAAAGCTCAGAGCATCTACTAGTGCATAGGAAGTCTATGCCCTGTGAGAAGGAAGGAAGAGGGGGAGAGCTGGGTGTGCTGTACACGCCTATGACATCAGCATTTGGGACGATGAGGCAGGGAGATTATAAGTTTGAGGCCAGACTGAGCTACATAGTGAGCTCTAAGCCTGTCTGGGCTACATGGTGAGATCCTGTCTCACCCTCTTTGCTCTCCCAGAGAAGAGGGGAAGCCAAATGTGGTCCTTTCAGAGGGTGTGGTGAGCCCATGTGTCTTGCCGATGAGGACACTCAGGTGGGACCACTGCATCGTCACCAGGCTTTCTGCCCACCTGTCCCCAGCCTCTGCTGCGATGCTGCTAGACCCCACCCCTGTTGCCTAGCGGCAGCCCCACACCTTCTTCCTCATGATGCCCGTTTCTCCTTTGAGCCGCAGGTTGGATTCCTTCTCATCCCGAAGCTTTTTCTCATACTTGGTTTTGATATCTTGAATTTCACGGTCTTCATCTTCTTCGATCTGCTTCTTGGTTTCCTCAAACTCCCGCAGCTGCTGCCTGACATCTTCCTGTGCCTGGCTCAGAGAGGGAGAGACTGTGGTGAGGTGAGAAGGAAATGGAGATGCTGTGGTATGAGGATGAACTCAGATGACAAGAGGCATTTGTGGGGATGGAAGGTGTCTCCTTACAAAGTGGAAACAGGCCTTCGCCATCTGTGCCCTCTTCCTGTCTCCCTTCCTCCGTAACCAGGCCGGCCTCCGGTTCCCTTACTTTACTACCTCTCACTGACAACCTCAACCCTGTTTTTTGCCTCTGTTCTTCATACCAACACCCAGGTTTCAGATAGTTTCCCTTTATAGAACTTAGGACCACCATAATTTTATTTGTGAAATTACTTGGTTATCTCCCCCATGAGATGCAAGTTCCTTGCAAGTCCCGTGGCCACCACTGGACTCCCAGTGTTCAAACAGAGGCAACTTGATAAACTGTTGAACAAATCAGTGGCTCCAATTCTGCCCTCCTGCCCTTCCCTTCCTCCTGTATAGCTTGGCTCCTGGGGAGCACCTCCTCGAGAAGACTGGTTTTCTCCTGCAGTTTGGCTTCGTAGAACTCGGTCAGCTCCTCTAGGGCTTGGCTCTTGGTCTCATCGTTGTCCCGAAGCTGCTTTTCATATTCCTCCTGCATCCGCTGCGACTTGAGCTGCAGCTCCTGGTATTTCTCATATTCTAGGAGCAACTTCTGATTGTTGCAGCATTCTGAGGTTAGGGAGGAGGACAGGTATTTCAGGTGGGAAAGTAGCACCAGCCTCTGGCACACATAGGATGCTTTCCTTCCCCTTCCCTGCCTGCTGGAGCAGTCCTCTCCAGAGCCAAGGCCCAAGGCCTGTGTAGTTTCTGTGACTGCCCCGTTCTTCATCTCACCAGGCAGCAAGCTCTCCACCCTCCACTCTGGACAGAAAATTGTTTCTATGAAGGTATGGGTGGAAGGCATTTGAGGGTTCAGGGCCAAGAAGAATGTCTTGAGTTTGTAGCACTGATACTAGTACCCCCGCTTTACCGAAGAGGCATGGTAGGGTGAGGTGATGCCTTAGAACACCCAGCAAGTAAGTGCTGAGTGTGGGACCCAGGGCAGCCTGTTAGGCTCCAAACCTGAACTTTTCTGTATCCCCCACTGGCATGCAGGAGTTTCATGTGTATTTGAGGAGTGAGTAAATACACAGGAGAAAAGACCATGGTGAGTTCCAAGGGACAAGCAGGGTATTCACAGACACAGCTGTGTTCCCTGGGACGAGCAGGGTATTCACAGACACAGCCATGTGCCCTGGGACTGCTCCTGCGTCTAACTCGCCTCTGCCAACCATAACCAGCCACCCTCACCAATGTGGCACCCCCATGTGGGCTCACCCAGCTCTTGCAGTTCCTGGTTCTGTTTGTCTACGAGGTTCTCCATGCGCTCACGGTGATATACATCCTGTTTTTCTTTCTCTGCTTTTAAAACCTAAAACACAGAGTCACCTTTTTTCATTTCTACACATGTGCTAAAGACACCAATAGGACAGAAGCTCATTTTATGACGACATCTTCCTTGACTCAGAGATTTCCCTCCAGCCTTTACTTTGTACCAAACACTGTTCTACGGACCAACAGAAAGGCCACTTTTTATCCACATAGGATTTCTCTCTGAAAGCTCTGTGCTTTTGCTATTTATGCAGTTGCCACAAAATAGACTTGTCAGTGAAAAACTTTGTTTTGGGCATGGTCAAGTGATTCTGAGGTAAAAAAAAGAAACACAGGGATTCATTCCAGTCTCTGTTGCCCACACACTGCTGTTGGCTAACCTCAGGTATGGTCATGTGTAAGTGTTTACCTGAGCCAGAGAGCTCCTGGCAGGCTGAGGTTGTCCTCTGGGGCCCAACTCTGTGCTTGACTTATACATAGTACCAAATAGATGCTTGCTGATTGACTGAATTATGAATGAATGAATGAATGAATGAATGAATAAAATTAATAGCCAGGGGCTTTCCAGCAAACAGACCCATGAAGACAACTTGCTATGACAAGTGAGGAAAAGATTGGGGATTTTAAGCTGGTTGTGGTGGCACACGCCTTTAATCCTAGCACTTAGGAGGCAGAGGCAGACAGATCTCTGTGAGTTTGAGACCACCCTGGTCTACATAGTGAGTTTCAGGCAAGTCAAGACTACAGAGTGAGACCCTGTCTCAAAAACCCCAAACCCTAAACCCCAAACCCAAACCAAAACAGACTAGGGACCTTAGATAAGGTGGGGCAGACAAGTTTATGTGGTACAAAGATAAGACTTGCAGAGTCCTGGGTCGAGTATAACTCTGAGCTGTTTAACGTTTTGTTTTTGTTTGTTTTGAGACAGGGCCTTCTTCTAGCTCCAGGTGGCCTGAAACTTGCTATGTAGATCAGGTTGGCCTTGATCCTCTTGCCTCTGCCTCACGGGTGCTGGGATTCATCTCCACACCCGGCATTGTTAAACTCTCTGACAGCCTAGAAGTCAGAATCTTCAAGTTATCCTCTTGCCTCTGCCTCACGGGTGCTGGGATTCATCTCCACGCCCGGCATTGTTAAACTCTCTGACAGCCTAGAAGTCAGAATCTTCAAGTTCTTCCTCCTCTTTCATTCTTATTATTTTCTTTTTCTTTTTCTTTTTTTTTTTCTTTTTTTGTCTTTTTGAGACAGGGTCTCCTTGGAGCCCCAGCTGTCCTGAAACTAACCATGTAGACCAGGCTGGCCTTGAATTCACAAAGATCTACCTGCCTCTGCCTCCCAAGTGTTATTTTCTTTTTTTAAAAAAAAATATTTTATTTTATTATTTTTATTTTATGTGTATGAGTGTATTGTCTGCATGTGTGT